TGATGCAACCTCATCTACAGAAGATAATCACAATTCACCTCTCTAGTAGAATAGAATCGTAGGATTTTACGGCTAGTTCCTTGAGTTTCTTGTTTACTCCCGCTCGCCTGTCCTTTCCCCATAATTTTTAATATATTTTGGTTATTTTTTTACACCCCTTTTAAAGCCTATAAGTTACCACAAGGAGCTAAAGCACAAGTCCACTTATAACATCAGTGTCCTGTGGACCTGAAGTTACAATAAGTGCAATACACCAAGGTGCATAAAGATGTCTAGTCTGCCACCATAACTGGGAACATCCTCATGAGATTATTGTGATAAAAATTGTCACAGGTGTTCTAGTCTCTCCTTGTGATTAAAGCCTCTCATTCATTGTATTCCAGTGGATCTCCTCCGTATTCCTTGCACAGCCTTGGTAGCCTTCCCAAAGTAAGGTGCCTTTTTAGATTTTACTTCAAATGTTTATCAAATTACATGTTATTGTTGTCATCTTAATAGCTGCTGCAGCAATGGATTCCATGTTCTGATGACCCTTCTTGGTTTGTCATGAATGGGTCTAACGTCTTTACAAGTCTGACTAATAAATTAGTTGGGGAAGGATAATATTGTCCAAGGCAGTTATTGATGTGTGCAGCATATGCCTAAATCAAATCAAACTTGTGTTGGATTGAAAAGATATAAACTCAATAATTTTTATTGTTTATTTACATTTTATTGTTTTCAAACACAGCAATCCTGGAATTTACTAAGTATATTTATCGTATTAGCCTTAATCAGTTCGAATTTGAATCTTCTAATAATATCTGTTGATTTTACAGTTTGTGTATTTAATATTTCGTATCACACAACCATCTCAAAGTGCTTGCAATTAGGCAATAACTTACACTTCCCACGTAGTGGAGTCCTGTAGCTCAGTGGTTAGAGCACTCGCTTTGCAAGCGAGAGACCTGAGTTCAATTCCAGGCAGAGGGCGAAACCTTGGGCAAGTTTCCTTACTCCACACAGAGCCTAATAATAATCCCTCCAAAACCAAAAACAATAATAAATTGGTCATTTTCAATCCACGACTGTTTGTGGGACATTGCTGTGCGCAATTGGCTGCCGCGTTCGCCCACAAATATACAGTCAATTCACTTTACAGTGTGTTCTGTGAAGCGCTTTGGGACGTCCTCCCGACGTGAAAAGCGCTATATCAAATGCAAGGATTATTATTATTATTATTATTACTGCATTTCACATTGGGAGAATATCTCAAATCACTTTACAAAGGTAGTGGGGGAGAGGGTTAGGTGGCTGAAAATACCGTCAATGAAGCAGAACTTGAAAGCGGGTGTAAAATGTCTGAAAGCTCAATCTTTGAAGGTGATGCAAGGTGGATGGGGGCATCAAACAGCCGTGAGATGACAAGGTGGAGGGACGGTAAGTAGTGTCACAGGAGTTTGCAGAGATAAAGTGGTGCTAGACTCAGGGGGTATTTGAAGATAGGACAAGGTTCTTAAAGTTGGTCCACTAAGGGAAAGGGGAGCCAGTGGAACTGGGTAAAGAAATACTTCCTGCTGTCTGTCCCGATATTGGCCTTTGCAGTTCTAAACCTGTGTCCTCTGTTCTCCTGTCTCAGTACCTCTGAAAGTATTGTTCTGCGTTTACTTTTAAAATTTTATATAGCCGTATAAGCCCCCTTTGAGACTTTTCAAGACTGAATAGCCATAGCTGTTTAATCATTGTTTATAGCTCATTCTTCTAAACTGAGGATCATCCTCTGCTCACTGCAAAGCCTTATGTCACAATAACACAAGCTATATACTGTGATCTAGGTGTGGCCTGACCAGAGAGCTATAAGCATCAGTGTGACTGCTGTCTCACACTCCTTTGACATGGTGAGCAATATAAAACATAAGAAATGCTAGACGAAAAATGACTAAAGTCCATCTAGTTCACCTTCTACCTTCCTGGTGGTCCCATGCACATATGTCCCGAACTACCTATTTGCTATATCCCATAATGTTATTTCCTAAAAGAAAACAATCTAATCTATGTTTGAAAGAATCAACACTTCTTGCTTCAATCGTTTCCCTAGGGTCCACAGGTTCACTATTCACTGAAATAGTGTTTGCGTAGATTTGTTCTGAATTTAACCCCCTTCAATCACAGGCCGTGTCCTCTGGTTTTACTATTCTGGGCAAGTTGAAACAGCCTGTCATGGTCTATTCGCCCACAAATATACAGTCAATTCACTTTACAGTGTGTACTGTGAAGCGCTTTGGGATGTCCTCCTGACATGAAAAATGCTATATCAAATGCAAGGATTATTATTATTATATTGTCAAAACACAAAATACTGCAGATGCTGGAAATCTTGGAAACAAAAAACAAAGAGAGCTGGGAACACTCAGCAGGCATTTATGGAGAAAGGAAAGTGAGTCAACATTTCGGGTCCACGACCCTTCCGTCAGAATGGGTCTGAGCTACAGGACTCCACACACAGTTCTTGCCCCTTTAGAATCATGTTGCCTCTCAATCTTCCCTATTCCAGTGTGAACATGACCAATTTACTTAGTCGCTCCTCATAGTCCTTCCATTCCCTCCCTCAATCATTTTGGTTGCCCTCCTCCATATCTTCTCAATTTCTCCAATGTCCTTTTGGTACTGCAGCAACCAGAACTATCTAAGTATGGTCTCACCAACGATTTATACAGTGGCAGGATTACCTAATTATTTTGGCTTGCTATTGATCGTTTGATACATCCTGACATCTGGTTTGCTTTATTCACTGCCACAGAGCATTGTTGGGAGAGCTTAAATTTATTGTCAATCGGGACCCCCAGGTCCTTTCATTTTCCATACACATTACTTTCCTTCTGTTCAAATAATAATAATCCTTGCATTTGATCCAGCGCCTTATCATGTCTTCTAGACGTCTCAAAGCGTTTCACAGAATATACTGTAAAGTGAATTGACTGTGTATTTGTGGGTAAAACGCAGTAGCCAATTGCGCACAGCAATGTCCCACAAACAGTTGTGGATTGAGTGACCAAATTATTATTGCTTTTTTTCTTGAGGGATGTCAGGACTTGACCTAATAGGTGAGGCTGCAGCTTTGGGGAAAAGCTGCATTTTGAAGGTTGTGCAAACGAGATGTTAGACTCTACCTTACTAAGCCAGTCCAGAACCTTGGCATCTTGTTTGATCCTCAACTATCTTTTCTACGCCACATCTGTGCCATGACCCACTCTGCCTTCCCCCATCTTTGCAACCTGTGGAAGTTGCTGCCTTCGACACCATTGACCACTCTATCCTCATCCACCACCTCTCCTCTCACCTCAACCTTCATGGCTCTGTCCTTGACTGGTTCAGATTGAACCTCTCACACCACCTCTACTTCATATCCACAAACGGTTTCTCCTCCAGCCACCGAACCGTCTCGTGCAATGTTCTTCAGGGCTCTGTTCTTCTTCCCCTCCTCTTCAATACCTATATGCTCCCTCTTGGTGACATCATCCGCAGACATGAGGTCAACTTCCACCTGTATGCTAACGACACCGAACTGTACCTCTCTGCCTCCACCCTTGACTCCAGGACCACTGCTGTGCTGACAGAATGACTGTCAGACATCAAGTCCTGGATGAGAGATAACGTTCTACAGTTGAATGTCAACAAGACCGAGGCTTTCCTGATTGGCTCCTGTCAGCGCCTCCGACGTGGACAGCATCACCATCCATGGTTACACACTCCACCTTGCTAAGCCAGTCTGGAACCTTGGCATCTTGTTTGACCCTCAACTATCCTTTCTACCCCACATTCTGAGCCATGACCCGTTCTGTCTTCCCCCATCTCCGCAACATCACCTGGCTCCGCCACTGTCTCACACCGCAGGCCACCGAAACTCTCATACACCCTTTCATTACATCGAGGCTTGACTATGCAAATTCCTTACTTATCGGCCTCCCCAACTCCTCCCTCCATAGGCTGCAGATCATCCAGAACTCTGCAGCCCGTGTCCTCTCCCGCATCAGGTTCCGGTGACCCTATCACCCCCATCCTCGCCCGACTCCACTGGCTTCCCATCACACAGGGGATAAAGTTCAAGATCCTGGTCCTCTCCATGGTCCATGGTCTTGCTCCCCCTAATTCTGCGATCTCCTAACCCTCTACCATCCTGTTTGCTCCCTCCGCTCAGCGGGCTCTGGCCTGCTTCACGTCCCTTGCCTCGCTTGCCTCACTATTGGCGGGCGGGGCTTCTGCCACTCTGCCCCCAACCTCTAGAACTCCATCCCACAATTCCTCTGTCTCGCCCCCTCCCTTGCCTCCTTCAAGACCCATCTCAAGACCCCCCCTCTTCGACCGTGCTTTTGATCACCCTCCTTCCCTTCCACCCTCCCCGATCCCGACCCCGACCCCCAGCTCGAGGCCGAAACTCTGACTGTCCAGGGTCTTGGGATGTCCTCCTGACGTGAAAGGCGCTATACAAATCTAATTTTGTTGTTGCTGTTGTTGTCGACTGTATCCCATCAAGAGGAAATTGGTCAAACTGCCATTAAGATCCCATGATGTTATTTGAAATGAGAAATTAAGTTTTGCTAACAATCCTCCAGATAAACTGATCATCGTAGCTGTTTGTGGGAGCTTTGCTGCACAAAGTCACTGCTGTGTTTGCCTACAAAATTATGTACAGCATTTGATAGTAATTTCTTGTGAAGTGCTTTGAGACCTTTTGACACAGAAAACTCCTGATAACTTGACCCTGGTTTAACTTGTCACAACCCACTTAAGTCATCACACTGTCAATATCCCGGCCGCATTTATTTATGTATTCATACATATGCCTAAATCGCCTCACTGGATAACTTGTCACTGAGCCCCTTTGGAGAAACGAGTTACCAGGAGTTTACTGTAATAGGTAACTATAAAATGCAAGTCCTTTCTTTTGATCTCCTTCTCTCTTATCTCTCAGATTAAATCTGCACCTCTGACCTTCTGGAACAGGGAATTCAACTTTGCAGTCAGTCTGTGTCTCTTCTCTCACTTTCTCTCTCTATCAGGTTAAAGGCAATAACTGGTGTACGTGGATACTTGAGTTTGCTGACATACGACAAGGTAACAGTCACTATCAGTGAGCACAACATGGCGAATGTTTTGAAGGGAAAAATCTGAACGTAGTCATTGTCATGGAAATAACCACCAGGATAGAGAATAACAGCGGGAAAGTGAAAGAGGGGTTCGCCCCCAGCAAGCCTCAGCAACGCTCCAGTCAGAATGCCAGTCACAAAACCAAAGCGAGTCACGCATGGGACGTACAGAACGCAGACAAGCTGAGGAAAGAGAACCACATAGACAATGTCGGAACTTAGGGCATAAAGGCCGTAGATGGTGCTGGTGCACAGAGAGAGAATGGTGGAAAGGGTTGCAACCACCACCACTGCGGCTCTCATCACGTACAGGATTTCCTTCTCCGAAGCCTAAAAGTAAAGATGGAACTCCATGAACACATGCACAAAGAAATCTAATCAAAATAGATTGTTTCCATTTGTTGGTGAGTCCAATATGAGCGAAACCTTAGGCAAGTTTCCTTACTCCACAAGCCTCTGTTTGCCCAGCAGTAAGTAGGAACCCAATTGTTAGTCGATTGGACGATCGTTTTCCAGGGTAATAATCCCTCCGTAAAAAAATAAACATTTTGGTCACTCAATCCACCACTGTTTGTGGGACGCTGCTGTGTGCAATTGGCTGCCACGTTCCACCCACGAAATAGACAGTCATTCCACTTTCCAATATATTCTGTGAAGCACTTTGAGACACCTCGAAGATGTGATAAGGCGCTATATCAAATGCAAGCATTATTTTATTGTTACAAGGAACCTCACTAACAATTTTAACCATAAGATAGCCAGCAGCAGATCTAAAGGGGAATTTAGGAGGAACATCGTTATGCAGAGAGTGGTGAGAAATGTGGAAAATCTGTGATTATAGCAAAAAGCATCACATCATCAAGACATCTCAAAGCGCTTCACAAAATTTTACTGTGAAGTGTAGTGACTTTGTAGTTGTAGGTAAACTCAGCAGCCAATTTGCACACAGCAAATGAAATGAATGACAAACAGCCTTGAAGTGAATGACCAATTTCATTTGGGGGATTTTTGATAAGGAGAGTTTATCAGATTCTTTCCAGGGTATCCAGTAAATAAATAATAATAAATAATCCTTGCATTTGATATCGAACCTTATCACATCATTAAGATGTCTCAAAGCATTTCACAGAGTATAGTGTAAAGTGGATTGACACTATATTTTGTGGGTGAAACGCAACATCCAGTTGCACACAGCAACGTTGTACACACTGCTTTGGAGTGAGTAATCTATTTTATTTGGGGGATTGTTGGCCAAGACACCAGAAAAAACTCCCATCTCTTTTGAACAACAACAACAAAATTACATTTGTAAAGTGCCTTTCACATCAGGAGGATGTCCCAAGGCGCTGGATAGACAGAGTTACGGATCCGAGCTGGGGGTCGGGGTTGGGGGCCAGTGGGGAAGCAGGGAGATCGAAAGCACGGTTGAAGAGGAGGGTCTTGAGGTGGGTCTTGAAGGTGGCGAGGGAGGGGACGAAGTGGAGGGACTGTGGGATGGAGTTCCAGAGGGTGGGGGCAGAGTGGCGGAAGGCTCGCCCACCAATAGTGGGGCGAGCAAGGCAGGGGACATGAAGCAGGCCGGAGCCCGCTGAGCGGAGGGAGCGAACAGGATGGTAGGGGTTTAGGAGGTCATAGAGATAGGGGGGAGCAAGACCATGGAGGGCTTTGAAGTTGAGGACCAGGATCTTGAACTGTATCCTCTATGTTATTGGAAGCCAGTGGAGTTGGGCAAGGGTGGGGGTGATAGGGTCACGGAGCCTAGTGGGGGAGAGGACACGGGCTGCAGAGTTCAGGATGATCTGCAGAGGTGGGAGAAGGCAGAGTAGATCATGGCGCAGATGTGGGTTAGAAAGAATAGTTGAGGGTCAAACAAGACCCCAAGGTTCTGGACTGGCTTAGCAAGGTGGAGTGTGCAACCATGGATGGTGATGCAGTCAGCGCCTGATGTGAGGAGGCGCTGACGGGAGCCAAACTTTTCAAATAGTGCCATGGGATCTTGAACATCCACCTGAACAGGCAGACGGGACCTTGGTTTAACATTTCATCCGAAGGATGGGACGTGAAGGAATGAGTATATAGTTTGGGAGCGAATGTTTCAGTGTGTCCCTTGCAATGTCTGACTTTCTTTTAAGTGCTCTTTGTTTCACTGCGTCCATAACCGTGGCGTTTGCTGATAGAAACACATCTTAATTACCTTTGCCCTGAAGATTTTTCGATAGATATTATGGGTGAACATGGAACTCGAGGAAAGGAGCGAAGAGTCAGTGGAGGACATGACTGAAGCTGCAATTGCACCGATTCCAAATACAGAAATGTAGGGCGGACACAAATACTGCAGCACAATAGGGAGGATCATGGCAGCTTCGTTCCTCTCAAAAGGCGACGGCAAACCAAAAGAGGTCTGATTCCAGTCTGGAAAGGGAGCATTTGAAACAGGTTTATAAACAGTTTCTAACAAACACCACGAAAAACTCGCACTGGTACCAATTGCTTTGTGATATCTTGTGTCATGATTCTTCAATCTGAAGACTATATTCGGAAAATAGGGATTGCATATTGGTAACAGGTATAACATCAAGCTAACCCACGGGAACTCCATACTGACGGGATGTGCTTCCTGAGCAGAGATCTCACTGGCCTATGGGAATCTGAAGGACCCCATATTAAGGAATGCAGCCAACTCAACAACAACAACTTGCATTTATATAGCACCCTCCATGCCGGGCGGTGTCTCTGAGTGCTTAATTCAGCACCAAAGCTTGGGATGGATAAGCTTTAAATTAACAAACAGACATGACTAGTGAAATATTAATTCTGTCAGTACTGTATAAATGATGCATTCCAAATAAACCTGTCATAATTCATAGCTGCTTTGGGTCCATAAACATATGTGCTGTCCTGGAAGGGCAGTGAAGTAAACCAAGAAAGCTACCAAAAATAAACCACAGAACATGTATTATACGTTTTACATTCAAACTCACATAGACTTTTAGCAGATCAAGGACACTTGACTGTCCAACTGCACTTCTACCGAAGATCAAATAATCCATTCATGTCTATATAAAAAAAATCTTTGTGTTTGATAATAGCACCTTTCATGTCAGGACAATCTCTCAAAGTGCTTTATCTGCTGGGCACAATTGGCTGCCACGTTTTGCCCACAAAATATACAGTCAATTCACTTTACAGTATATTCTGTGAAGCGCTTTGAGACATCTCAATGAAGTGATAATAATAATAATAATCCTTGCATTTGATATAGTGCCTTATCACGTCTTCGAGACATCTCAAAGCCCTTCACAGAATATACTATAAAGTGAATTGACTGTGTATTTTGTGGGTGAAATGCAGCAGCCAATTTTGCACAGATCAAATGCAAGAAGTATTATTATTATTGTACTGTAATGTGTAGATACAGAGGGTTAATTTGTAGGCAAATGCAGCAACCAATTTGTACACAGCAAAATCCCCCAAATCCCATAAACAGACAATTTCTTCTCTTTTCAGTAAGTGCCAGGGGATCTTTAATGTGCTCTTAAATAGGTAGGTGGGACCGCAGTTTAACATTTTATTCAATGGGCAACACCTCAATAATGCAGCACATCCCAGCACTGCACTGGAGTGTCAACCTAGACTATGTGAGTTCAAAGTCCCGAAGTGGAGCTTGAACACACACTCTTCTGACTCAGGGAAGAGAGCGCTACTACTGCGCCAGGCAGACACAACCCTAACACCTTGTCACCTTTTTGATATTGGGACAGATTACTGTAGACGTCACTCCATTTGCTGTAGACAAGGGTTGTAGACTCGAGTTCACGTTTGAATTACAAGTTAGCGGAGTACTGTACCTGTAGAGGCTGCAATTGATCCAATCAAGACGGAAGGGATGCCCATTATGCAACTTCCAAATGCTCCCACTATCGATAATATTTGAGCATCTTTCGCTGAGGAAGACGCCAGCACTCTTTGAAAATAAACCTGCCAAGGTATCCCTCCCAGTACCTGCCGAGAGAAACAAATCCCAGTTCATCTGTGGAATTATTGCAGTTACAACAACAACAACCTGCACTTATATAGCACTCACCATGCAGGGTAAAGTCTCAGAGCGCTTAACAGTGGCGGAGCCCGACTGCGAGCTGGGGGTGGGGGAGGGAGGTGGCCATAAGCAGAGTCGAAAAGGACGGTTTTCAGGCGGGATTTGAAAGAGGGGAGAGAATGGACAAGGTGGAGGGATTGAGAGAGAGTGTTCCAGAGTTTTGGGATGAAGTGGCTGAAAGCGCGACCTCCTATGGTGGGGCGGAGTGTGCGAGTGATGAGCAGGAGCCTGATGCCAGTTGAGCGGAGGCACTGGTGGTGGATTGGAGAGTGAAGAGTTCGGAGAGGTAGGGAGGTGCCAGGGAATGAATGGATTTGAACACGAGTGTGAGGATCTTGAAATTGATCCGTTTGGTGAAGGGGAGCCAGTGGAGCCTGGGCCAGAACTGGTGAGATGTGGATATTGGGTCAGTATGCAGACGACAGAGTTTTTAATGAGCTGAATCTTGTGAATGGTGGAGCTGGGGAGACCGGCGAGGAGTGCGTTGGAACCATGGTTTAATGTCGCCCCAAGAGTAATACCAGGAGTTGAGCTAAGAGTTCAAGCTCTGCTGCGAGTTTTGTGCATGCAATAGTTTGGCATAGAACAAGCGTGTTCTCAACTGCATCAAATTGATACCCTTTAACTAAAGGTAATACAGGTCATCATGATGGCCTCTTACCATGAGCAAAAGATGATCGATCCATTGTCCAATAAACTTCTCATCAATTTTTCCAATCCAGGGTTTCTGGTAGACCTCCTTAACTGCTGTGACTCGAATACTGGTAACAGCATCATTGAGAAGTGTGAACGGCACACATAACCACTGGAAGAAAGATCAAGCATCATATTGGTATACTCACAGATTAAACAGTTACATGCAAGGTTTGTAACATACAGAACTAAAAGGGAGTTCGGGGGTGAGTATTTTTGGGGTGAAATGCGGCAGCCATTTGCGCACAGCGGTGTCCAACAAACAGTCGTGGATTTAGTGACAAAATTATTCATTTATTTTTGAAAGGATTATTACCCCGGGAAAGCGATCCACCAATCAACTAACAATCGGGTTCCTACTTAGGCTAGGTAAGCAGACGAGTAAGGAAACATGCCTAAATTTCTCCCTGCCTGGGAATCGAACCCAGGCCTTTTTGCTTGCAAGGCAAGCTCGCTGAACACTACACTATGGTACCCAGTGTGAAGGTCCTTCTTCATCCAAACCTCTGTTGTGATCTTATGAGGAGGTTGGTCTTTAACTCTTCCCAATTAAACACCAGTTACTAAAAGATTGAACTGCAGTCGAGTACTGCTTATACACACGCTGGATAAACCGTGTGTCCATCTCTTCACATCAGAACCGAGATGCAGAAGTGAAACGGTGCTGAGATGTTGGTGATTTACATTTATGTTACATCCCGTACACACGTTGTAACCAGGTTCATGATTTTAACTGAGCAGCGTGAGGTGGAGAGATTCAGTATAGGAAAGTACATGAATTAAGATACAGTTAGAGAGAGTCAGAGAGTCAGAAAGCCACAGAGTATGTCAGATTGAATCAGACAGGGAGAATAAACATTCAGCCTTTTAATCATGAAAAATGGGCACAATATTCATGTATATCTTAAGACTAGTTATTCATTGAACAGTTTGCTACTTACCAACCCAATGAAGATACATCCTAATTGGACAACATCAGTGTATGCAACAGAATAAAGTCCCCCAAGTAATGTATAGATCATTGCGACAGAGGATGAGATCACCACAGAGAGATTCTTATCCAGGCCCAGGATGACACTTGATGTTGTCCCTGAATAAACAGTAAAAAGGACATTCAGTCTCGAACCAATTCAAGAAATGTTTGGTAGGAAGGAACACTTTTAGGTGATAATCAAAAGATGGGAGTTGGGATTAAAAAATCTGCAAAAATAAAATCAACCGGTAGCACAGGCTCAATGAGCTGAATGGCCTCCGCCTGTTCCTCTTTTTCTTTTTAAAAAAGCATATAAAATGCAGGGAAAAAAGAGAGTAAAAAGGAAGCTTGATGATTGATAATAACATCTAGCGGTCTGTTCAGTTTCTGTTTTTCACAGTCTTACCTAAAGCTGCCAGTATTGCCGCAGTCCAGAATATTTCACTGATTACAGCAGGAACAAACAACAAGCTTGCTATACGGGTCCCATACCGTTGCTGGAAAGGGTCTAACATGGTAACATACTCCTGGCTTCGCATTTTCTTAGCAAAGAACAGTGCACCTGGGTGAAAGCAGAGGGAAAGGGACACCATCAAGTGTTTATATAGACTTACAAAGAAGGTACAGCATGGAAACAGGCTTCTCGGCCCAAACGGTCCAAGCCGGTGTTTATACAACTCACTCCTTACTCCATCCCATACAGTTCTGTTCCCTTTACCTTGAGTGCTATACACAGTGCTGGTCACTGCGACATAAAGTGGCTGTCGAGCCAATACGAAACCTCGGTGTCCGTTTTCAACCCCCAGCTATCTTTCAAACCCCACATTCGTGCCGTGACCCGTTACGCCTCCACCTCCACCTTTCTCCACCTCCGCAACATTGCCCGCCTCTGCCACTGCCTCTCACCACAGACTGCTGAGACACTGATCCATGCTTTCATCACATCCCGGCTTGACTACACCAACTGCCTGCTCTCTGGAATTCCCAACCTTGTTCTTGCCCGGCTTCATTGGCTCCCCATCCCTTAGATAATCGAGTACAAAACCCTCATTCTCATTTTCAAAGTCCCCCACGGTCTTGTTCTCCCCTACCTCTCCGATCTCCTAACCCCATATCAGCCTGTCCGTTCCCTCCGCTTGGCAGACACCAGCCTGCTTCAGGTCTCCCGCACTTCCCGCCCCACCTTTGGTAGATGGGGATTCAGCATCTTTGCCCTCACATTCTGGAACTCCATCCCACAATCCCTCCGCCTCACCCCCTCTCTTGCCTCCTTCAAGACCTGTCTAAAGATCTTCCTCTTCTACCATGCCTTCCTCTTGTATAATGTTAAAAACCTCTACTGGATCCCCTAAGTGTTAAGAAGAAGTTTACAACTCCAAGGGCGTTGCAGTCACTATCAAGTGGAGAATATTCGCCAGAGAGCTGAGAACCCTAGAGATGTGTTATTGGGGTTCATTGATACTCACTGATTAACATACACAACAGAGTAGTCCATGGTGCTACGGTCCATACTAATCCAGCATCTGGTCGATACACCATTTCAGCGGTGCCGTTTATATATGCACCACCAACCCAGGTTGCTGAAAATGGATGGAAAGGAAATGAGGAAAAGTCACCTCAGTACAAAACAATAATAATAACCCTTGCATTTGATACAGCACCTTATCATTTCCTAGGATTAGATGACCAGAGGTATAGATAGACCAAACGCTTCAGATGGAGCCTGACAAATGCTTCGATATATTGAATTCTGTCCTCCTATTAATGCAACCCAACATCTTATCTAATTTTTTTTAGTTCTGCAAAGCGCTAACTGTTGACGGTTTCACCAATTTACCTAAACTCATCCCAGTTCTCTTTTCTGATTATCACCCTGTTCTATTTAACACATGTTCCTGTTTGGGTACCTTACTCCCAAGTTGTTTCACATTTATCCTCATGGATCAGCCCATCTACCCAAACGATTCAGACCTTTCTGAATGTAATTGCATTCTTCTCCTTTGTTTTATCTTGAAGTGCTTCGAGGCATCCTCCCTACATTGAAAGGCCAAATGTATCATAGGAATTGCTAGACGAAAAAAGACCAAGGTCCATTTAATTTGCCTTCTACCATTCTGGTAGTCGCATGTTACAATAATGGAGATGTTGAAAGCAATTAATTCTGTATGGATTAGTCTACAACAGAATGGAAAGCTTTGAGAACCTTAGATGTAAAGTTGTCTAGTTCTTCCAATCACACTACACTTACTGTATTTCATGTCTCAAATTACTCATATACTGTATCCCATGGGATCAAATATATCAAATGTAAAGATTATTATTATCATCATCATCAACTGGCTGTCCTATTTTGGTATCATTCACAAAACTGAGAGATTTGCTCATCAAAACCGTTAAGGTCTAAGGTACTGAGTTACAATAGAAGAGAGATAGAATGCAAATCAGTAGAGGTTGTAGGAGCTTATGCCTGAGCTCATGTGGAATACTGTGTGTACCCTATCCCATGTGAAGGGCGAAGTTGTTGTGGTGCAGGTATGGCCATATGAATATTCAGATCCTTCTTGCGATCATTTGGCCTGTCCCATTTCATTAGTTCACTCGCTCTTTATCAATCCATTCGAAAGTAAGAAGATCTCACCGGTGGTTGTTAAAATGCCAAGCACAATTCCCATTTTCCGTCCTGCGATCATAGCCATTTCAGTTCTGTTGCCCTCACAGGCTCCCTCTATTTTGGAGGCTTTCTTCGCTGCGAAAATGCCAACAGCAAGGATAAGAAGATAAAATATGGCCACCGACACAACGCCTGCTATATTTACTGACATGACGTTGCTCTGTCCTTTCTCCTGTGGTATCAGAAAGAAAGTAACGTTACTGTAACAGGGTTAGAATTTCAGGAAGGAATCCATTATCTAATCTACGCATCCAATATCGCATAGATTCCTTCAACAAATTTTCCTCATCATTCATTTCGCTTTGAGAAGTACTTTGAGATGTCTCAAAGAAGTGACAAGGTGCTATATCAACAGTAGTAGTCCTGCCATTTGACGTAGTGCCTTATCACATCTTCAAGACGTCTCAAAGCGTTTCACAGAATATACTGTAAAGTGTATTAACTGTATTTTGTGGTTGAAACGCAGCAGCCAATTGTGTACAGCAATGTCCAGCAAAAAGTCATGGATTGAGTAACCAAATTATTATTTTTTTTTATATACACAGACACACTACAACAACAACAAGAATTACATTTGTAATGCGCCTTTCTCATCGGAAGAATGTCCCAAGGTGCTGAACAATCAGGGTTAGAACCCTAGTGTGGGGGTGTCAGGGTTGGGATGAGGGAGGGCAGAGGGGATAGGAGGCCAGCTGAAGGCACGGTCAAAAGGAGGGTCTTGAATCATACCTTGAAGGAGGCAAGCGAGGGAGCAAGGTGAAGGGATTGTAGGATGGAGTTCCAAAGGGCAGGGGCAGAGAGGCTGAAAGCCCGGCCACAATGATAGGGCGAGTTGGGAGAGAGACATGGAGCAGGCCAGAACCTGCTGAACGGAGGGAGCGGACAGGTTGATAGGGGGTCAGCAGGTCAGAGATGTAGGAGGGGGCAAGGCCATGGAGGGCTTTGAAAGTGAGGACGAGGATTTTGAATTCTATCTTCTGAAAGATGGGGAGCCAGTAGAGCCGGGCGAGGGTGGGGTGATGGGGTCACGGAGCCTGGTGCGGGAGAGGACATGAGCTGCAGAATTCTGGATGATCTGCAGCTTGTGGAGGGAAGAGTTGGGGAGACTGACAAGGAGGGAGGTTCTGTAGTCGAGCCTCGAGGTGACGAATGCGTGTATTAGGCTTTCAGCGGTCTGAGGGTTGAGGCAGTGGAAGAGTCGGGCGATGTTGCAGAGATGGGGGAAGATTAAGCGGGTCATGGCACCAATATGGGAGAGAAAAAACAATTGAGGGTCGAACAAGAAGTCCAGGTTCCTGACTGGCTTGGTGAGGTGGAGTGTGCATCCATGGATGCTGATGCCGCCAATGCCTGAGGTGCGGAGGCACTGGTGCGAACCAATTGGGAGGACCTCTATCTTCTCATCACACAGAGGATACAGTTCAAGATCCTGGTCCTCACGTTCAAAGCCCTCCACCCTTCCTGATCCCGATCCCCAGCTCGGGTCTGATTGATCAGTGCCTTGGGATGTTCCCTCAAAGTGAAAGGCGCTATACAAATGTATCTCCAGGTATTCATCCTCTACATGCTCCCCTTTGGTGATGTCGTCCGCAGACATGGGGTAAATTTCCCCATGTACGCGGATGACACGCAACTCTACCTCTCTGCCTCCACCCTGAACTCCAGGACCACTGGCGTCCTGACCGACTGCCTGTCCGACATCAAGTCCTGGACAAGGGCCAACTTTCTCCAACTCAATGTCAGCCCTCCTAATTGGCTCGCACCAGTACCTCCGCACCTCAGGCGCTGGCAGCATCAGCCTCCATGGCTGCACACTCAACCTCACTAAGCCAGTCAGGAACCCGGGTATCTCGTTTGACCCTGAACTGTCCTTTCTCCCCCACATCCGCGCCATGACCGGCACTGCCTACCACCACCTCCGCAACATTGCCAGACTCCGCCACTGCCTCACCTCTCAGGCTACCGAAACCCTCACCCACGCATTCGTCACATCAAAGTTTGATTACGGGAACTGCCTCCTCATTGGCCTTCCCAACGCTTCACAAGCTGCAGATCACCCAAATTCTGCAGCTCGTGTACTCTCACTCACCAGGCTCCGTGACCCCATAATTCCCACCCTCGCCTGACCCCACTGGCTCCCCATCCCCCAGAGGATCGAGTTCAAGATCCTCATCCTCACCTTTAAGTCCATCCATGGCCTTACCCCCTCCTACCTCTCTGATCTGCTGACTCCCTACCAACCTGCCCACTCACTTCATTCATCGGGCTCTGGTCTGCTCCATGTCTCCCGCCCGACCCGCCCTACCATTGGTGGCCGGGCTTTCAGCCTTCCTGCCTCCACACTCTGGAACTCCATCCCACAGTCCCTTCACCTTGCTTCCTCCCTTGCCTCCTTCAAGGCAGTCTCAAGACCCTTCTCTTCGACAGTGCCTTTGGCCTCCCTCCCACCTCTCTGCCTTCACTCACCCCTACATCCCCCCTCCCCCAGGCTCGCGCCCCAACACCTAACTGTTCAGTGCTTTGGGACAACCTCCTGACGTGAAGGGCGCTCTATAAATGTAATTTTGTTGTTGTTGTTATATTAGACATGTACATTGTATCTCCAATGAGATCTTCAATCCACTGCCAGTTATTAGACATATACAGTATATCTCTAGTGTATCTATGGTGTCAAGTATTAGACACGTACAGATATTAGACATGTATCATATACATTCAATACACTGTACACTATACTCCAATGAGACACACCGTACGTGTCTAATACCTGCCAGTGTAGTGAATGTACACTATATGCGTCTAATATTTGACAATGATTAAATGCACACAACATAACCGTTAAAACAATGACGTATAAGGTAAGACCACGCGAGATTTGGGGGTTGTAGAATACCAGTGACATTTCGCAACCTAATCAACTCTGAATCAGTCAGGTGAACAAAACGTAAAGATCACCATAGGAGCTCAATCCTGGACACATTACTGTTCTTGATAGTCCTGGGACCTGCGTTCCCAAAGCCTTGCCTGAGGAACCAATTTCTCTCCTGACTCAAGAATTTCAACTGCCCCTCTATCTACTGTCACCATCCTCTCAGAGTGCGAAACAGCAAACATTCATGCCTACCCAGAAGAAGGAATCAACTTCAAACCCCAACAGCTTGCTGAGACCTATTGACAGACATAAATCAACATTCAGACCACTTACCCAGTTTCATCTGTGACTTTTCCAAGGAACTGTAAAAACTCAATGGAGGTGTGGAAGCCGCTTTTTTCCAAATAATTTAAATTACCCAACACAGCAAGGTTTATATCAGTAAGGCCGATGGATTTTTTTCTCCCCGTGATCAATTAGCAAAATCTAACTGCCATACAACCAACTCTTTGTGACCAGATAATGGGATCTTTCAGAGGCATTTGGTTAACATGCCACCAGGAAATAGTGGTGTTGGTCCCAAACGATTCTGAATGGTTTCCTTGTGAGTATCTGAGATTGACACTTCTAATTATATAAATTCATGTGATCGTCACAGGTTTGAGTGGTGGAAGGCTTATTTTGCTGTTACTTCCAGTATAATGCACAGCGCTCTGAGACCAAGAAGTCCAGCTGCTAGAAATTTGAGCAAGTCCACCCGTGGCATTGGTTTCAACTGTCATGTATGATGAGAGATTCCTGATCACCACATTATAATAATAATCATCCTTGCTTTTGATAGGGGCCCTTGTCACATCATTGAAAAGCCTCAAAGCACTTCACAGAATTTACTGTAAAGTGTAGTGACTGTGTGAGAAAGCAACCGGAAGCTTAGGGTTGTGCTGGCGGGCAGAATGGAGGTATTCGGCAAATCGATCGCCCAATCTGCGCTTGGTCTCCCCAATGTAGAGTAGACCCCAATGTGAGCAGTGAATACAGTACCCTACATTGGTGGTAGTACACGTAAATTGCTGTCTCACTACATTTAGAACGGAAGATTGATACAGGACTTCAATCGTCATAAGTGCTGTTGTTGGGATATCAAGGTGAGGTCCCACCTGTCTATTCATTAAAGATCCCACGGCACTATTAGAAAAGAGAAGGGAATTTCTTCCGGTGGCCTGGCCAACAATCCCCCAGATAAAATTAGTCATTCACTTCAAAGCTATTTGTAAGTCATTGCTGTGTACAAATGGATTGTTGCGTTCACCTACAAAATACTGCGTCACTATATTTTACAGTAAATCTTGTGAAGCGCTTTGAGATGTCCTCCCAGCAAACATGAAAGGCATTGTATCAAATGCAAGGATTATTACTTTTGTCTGCCTTTACTTAATCCTGTAAATAAAAATAGATGTTGTCATCATTGGAAATAGCATGGGTCAGATTGCTCTCTGAAGAGAGTTAAGAGACTACAAGGAAATATACGAACTATAGCAGATTAATTAAATCCATGGAAGCACACAAGGTATAAATGATTAAATTAAGAATCTCTGCATTTAATATAGTACCTTATCACAGCGTCAAAATGTCTTAAAGTACTTTACAGGATTTTACTGTAAAGCGTAGTGACAAGGTGTTATTAGGTGAATTTTGCAGCCAATTTGTGCACAGCAATGTCCACAAACAGCTGTAAGATGAATGGCTAATTGTATCGGTGTGACTGTTTGCCAGGACACTGAAAGAAACTCCCTTCGAATAGTGCCATGGGATCTCTAACCTGAATAGACAGATGACAAATCAGTTTAACATTTCATCTGAAGGATGGTACTTCCGACAATAAGGCACACTCCTAGCACTGCATGTCAGCCTGGACTGTTAGTTCAGTGTCCTACTGGAACTAGTTCCTGGTTGAAAGCCAATATGGATTCTGCCTCAACCACTGGACTGGGCAGAACATTCCATATCCTGATACAAATGTGTGTGAAAAAATTCTCCCAACCTCCCCATTTGCTAACTATCTTAAACCGTTGCCCTCCAGCCACTGACTCACCAACCACACTCACAGAGGACACACTTGGAACAGGATGGGACAAACACACAGTGATTGGACCAAATGTGGAGACATTTACTCCTTTCCTCACCTCATCTCACGGTCATCTCAAGACATACCTCGCTGACCGTGCTTGCGGTCATCTTTCCCCTCTCCAACCCCTTGGCTCCCACCCTCAGCTCAGGTGCCCAGCCAGCAGTGTGAAGTGCTTTGAGACAATCCTCCCGATGTGAATGGCGCTGTATAAATGTAAATTGCGCTGTACCTAAGGCCAACTCTGAGCTAATGTTGAGCATCATCCACAGCTTTCCTGGTACCACTTAATTCTATTCCATTAGAAGCTCTGAGTTGTTGTCTCGAGCCAGTCATCCTACCCTACCCTGAATCCTAACCTTTCTCTAATCCTGGCATTCAGTAAATTACAGTCTAATCTAATCAATTCATTTCTCAGTCTATTTTGGTCTACACCTAAACTCTATTCTCAGCCAGTGATTGGCTGGACTGAAAAACAGACGTAAAAAATCTTAAATGCATTTTAATCTCATTTCTGAAGTGCTCAGGCGCTGTCAGAGATGATGTTATTAATAATAATAATAGTCCTCTTCTAGATGTCTCAAAGCGCTTCACAGCATATACTGTAAAGTGAATTGATTGCATATTTGTGAGTGAAATGTGGCAGCCAATTGAGCACAGCAGTGTCCTACAAACAGTCGTGGATTGAAGTGACCAATTTTATTATTGCTTTTTTTCTTGAGGGATTATTATCAGATGTGTGGAGTAAGGAAACTTGCCCATGGTTTTGCCCTGCTGGGAATCGAACCCAGGTCTCTCGCTTCGAGACGAATGCTCTAACCACTGAGCTACAGGACTCCTCCTCTTATTCCTTCCCTTTCGCACACAACTGTTTATAGATAGGCTTTGATGAATAGTCCAGTGACTGTGTTGTCCCATCCTGCTCAGAAAATATCTTTTTCCATGACTTGCAAGCTCCCCACCAACCACAGCCTTTAAATTGCTCTCGACAGGACCAATAGAACAATAATAATCTATTTTACAATCCTTGCATTTGATATAGCACCTTATCCCAATCATCAAATCATCTCAAAGCACTTCCCAGGATATTAATAATAATAATAATAATCCTTGCATTTGATATGGCGCTTTTCACGTCAGTAGGACATCCCAAAGAGCTTCACAGAACACACTGTAAAGTGAATTGACTGTATATTTGTAGGCGAACGCGGCAACCAATTGCGTACAGCAATGTCCCACAAACAGTCGTAGATTGAAAATGACCAATTTATTATTGTTTTTGGTTTTGGAGGGATTATTATTAGGTGTGTGGAGTAAGGAAACTTGCCCAAGGTTTCGCCCTGACCTGCCTGGAATTGAACTCAGGTCTCTCACTTGCAAAGCGAGTGCTCTAACCACTGAGCTACAGGACTCTGTAAAGTGTAGCAACTCTGTATTTTGTGGGCAAGCACATCAGCCAACTTGCGCACCAAAATGTCCCACAAACAGCCATGGAGTGTGTGATCAATACAATACGTACTCATGCTCTAGTTTCGCAAGTCTAAGCAGCAAGTCTGGGATGTTATTGGAATGTCCTGAAATCAACAGCATTCATTAACAGTGGGATAAAGAATATTTTATTTGAATGCGATACGAACACATTATTAAAAAAACACAAGAAAGGGGCTACAATGACAGGGCATTAACTGCAGGTTTGGCACGGTTGACAGAGAGTGAGTGTGGCTCACTTTATTGCTGGGTATCAATGCTGTGCTTTGTTGGCCTGTGACCCAATAATATGAAATCTGGTCTCTCCCCACATGGTTGTAAAGGCAAATATCCCACCGTAAAACCATTTGAACCACAGCACTTAAACCCACTCACTGGTGAAACAGGCCACCAGAACACTCTGGCTCAGAGGCACTGAAGTTGTAACAAAATACATTGAATAACCAATTTACAATTAGACAAAGGCTTATACCCCGGATTGCATAGTTTGCTCACGTCAAGTGGGCTGGTTTGACACATTACACAAAGAACTACACAGATGAAATTGAAAACATACAGGCTTATCTGAAAGAGAAACAAAAATCCAAGAGCAGAATTGCAATGAAAAACTAACTAAATGTCACCGAGTGAGGGAGCGAGCAAGCAGAGAACAATTTCAGCTTTTGTTTCATGTCGTTTATATACAGAGCACCTAGTGACCTCAGGCCCTGCTGGTGTTCATAAACCAGTCGGGCACTTTAAAGCATTCAGTTGCAAAACTTGTCCAAAATGTCAGTCTAATAACCTACATATCACCCCTGGAGACGCACACAGAGAACTGAGTGTGCATGGTGATCATACAAACCCAGTGTGTGAGGCCTAATTATTAGCCCGATGTTACTTTCAGTGTGGAGATTACTTGGATCTAAAGTTATTCTGCTAGTCAGGAGCAGACTTTCTTTTAAAAACCTAATACAAGTTTACTCCGCTTCCTATTATATATAGATATAAAAAAAACATTGCATGTGGTGATTTTCTTTTCTTTTTTCCTTTCTTAACAAAAAGATAAGCCGTCACATCCTAAGAGAGGGTCCGAACTATCCCGTCAAACATTTACACCCACCTCCTGCCGCCCCCTCAAGCAAGACAGGGCACAGCAGCACACGTACATGTGGTTAATAGATAGGCCTCTGCAGTCATACAGGCTAGAGCTAAGACCAAACAGAGTAGCTGAACCTGTACAAGAATTTCATACAAGAATACTACAGAAAACACCATGTGGATAACATACACACCACAGGTGTACCAGTCAAATCACCTCAAGATTCCCAGACAGACCGAACTACTACAATTTAACAAAAGCCTAATTTTTTTCTCTTTTTTTAATATAATATATATAAAAAAAGGTTTATCCCACGAAGCGCAATGATTATAAAGTTAACAGTAAAATAAAAAGTTATTTACTCCCGTTGTTTTGCCATATACCTCTCTAAGGGGTGACTTGTGAGTGAAACTGTGCCACATTTTATTGATGTACCTCATTGAACGGTAGAAATTACAGGGCAGAAGGTGGGCAATCAGCCCGTTCTGCCCACATAAAGTTACTTGAGGTCTTCATGAATGAGGCACTCTGTGAATGGTGTCTTGACTGTACAATCCTTGCTCCGCAAAACTGGTCACAGATAAAATGTGGCTTGGAAGAAACAGAATTTAAGAGCAAATGACAATTCATTCCACTTCATAATCATTGCACCCTGTGTCTTTACATTATCATCTACATAAGTTATTAAAGGTCCTCTTCAGTCAGAGAGGAGAAATTAGCACCTTTGGATATGGTTGTCCTCTTTATCCCGATATGGGAAAGTTATTTGAGAATAAAGGTTTCCCCTCTGCTTCCCCCTCCCTCCCGCCCCATCACACCAGTTATGTATTCTGCACAGTGTCTCCAGGTGTGCAATGCATTCCACATCACGTTCCGAATCCGGTGTGAGAGGCAACACTCAAGACCCATTGACTGGGTTTCTGTGACTGTGATGGTGCAATGCTCAGAAACCAAATGTTCAAGTACAGCTGGCGTCAAGTGACAACAGGTATTGGATAAATAATGTTCTGCTGTTCGTAATAAGGCACGGCTCAAGTCCTCTCAGGCACTTCGGAGTATGGTTAAAATGTCACTTGCTGGCGATCGATCAGACCTCGGAGCTGTCACTGTGGTACCTTTGAGCCGTCATGGCTTCATTGCTGGGCGTTTTCTTGTAGTCTCCCTTCTTCTCGGACTGCTTCTTGCGCTTCAGCAAGAGGAGGATGATGATGATGAGGCAAATGGCGAGCAACAGGGCAGCAATGCCTCCAATGACAGGGATGTTGCTGTCTCCTTCCTCGTGGCCGTTGGGAGACTTGGCTACAGATCCTTCAGGGAAGTATTCCCTTTCCTGAACCTGCCTCCTGTTGTTGCGGTCCAAGGTGATGTGCTGGATGTTGGTCCCTCTGTTGTTTTCCACGCCGATCTCCTCAGTCAGTAAGGGAGTCTCCTCGACAGCTCGCCTGTGACGTGAAGCGCTGAGCTCTCCAGTGTGAGAAAGTGAATGATACTCCACACTCCTCTTCCCAATGCCTCTGTTAGCGCTTTCTCTAGACCGCAAAGTGTAGATGGTGTGGATATACCACTCCCGACCAGCAGTGACCTGCAGATTAAAAAAGAGAATGTGAATCTCTACCTTTGTTGGGAGATCGCAATGAAAGCAGCTTCACGCTCGGGCCACATCGACATATCAAATGATAGTGTTGGAGAGGAGTGCGGAATCTGGGCTGACATCATTTGGATATAGACTGAGATAATGGAAAGTCTCGACTAACATAATGGGGAATCGATACTGACACAAAAGGGGATTGAGATTGAAATAATGGGGAATCTAGATTGACAGAATACAATCATAAATATTTTTTTTTTGACACAATCCACAGCTGTTTAAAAAGCATTGCTGGTGCAAATTAGATGCTGCATTTGCCGACATAAATCAGTACAATTCAAAGCAACTTACGGTGAAGTGTTGGGGTGGGGGGGGAGGGGAGGGGGGGCTTCTTGTGAACCTTTCGATCTGTGCTGATAATGGGATCTACTATGGTGAAAGTGGGATGAAACCGTTAACAAACTGTGCGCTCCAGGCCCACTGCGCACAGTCCTTTGTGCTAAGGTGCTGTGTTTAATACGAGCACTGATTATATTGTGCTGCAGCTGGTACTATTCTATTTGCTTGTTGAGCGAATGAAATGGACATTTCCTACCTGGAAGAGGGGGGAAGAATCCACGCGGAAACCATCAGAGCCGGGCTGTTTGGCTAGCGAGAGGGCTTCAGAATCATCTATCGCCAGTTTGGCATTGAAGGGAACACTGCCAAACAGTGAGTCCTGTGTCTCAGGCTGAGCCTTGTCCTGATAAAGAGTTAAAAGAACCACACGTTAGTAAAGCATTATGCAAACACCCTCAACATCGTACTGGATTCAAAACAGCCCAACCAAGAGGTGGCTGCTTTTCTTTCAACAATGTATTTGTAGATTTAAGTGACGAGCAGCCCTATCTCTGAAGTCAAGGCTTATTCTGTGCTTTCAATTCACAAAATCATTAGATTGAATGAAGAAATGCCCTTCGATCCATTTGATCTCATCCTTCCAGAACACGCACTATACCGTCCTTCCATCACAGCCTCAAGCCGCTTTTTAAATGAGTCCAGTGTCCTGGCCTCAACTACCCTTCCTCATAACCTGTTTCAATTGTTAATGTGGAACCCATCATCATGTTTAAGAGTATTCAAGCCAGACTGAGATTTCTACATATGCAAGGAAATTTCTGTGTTTGGAATGGAATTTGCTCTCTCTCCCCTGGTTTCCTAATTTCAGAGAGTATTAGGCACAAATTGGAAAAAGCCAAGACTTGAGGACCCCAGAGAATGTGTTGGGGTACTGCTAGATTCCAACCAATTAAAACTGCTTAGTTTGCCATTTAGAGGATTGTTAAAGTGACAAATGACACTCTGTCCATCGACGACCAGGGCTCCCTCTGCCTCCTCCTCCTCCTTGACCTGTCTGCTGCCTTCGACACCGTCGACCACTCTATCCTCGTCCACTGCCTTTCCTCTCACCTCAATCTTCACGGCTCTGTCCTTCATTAGTTCAGATCATACTTCTCACACCACCTTCACTTCATCTCCACAAACAGTTTCTCCTCCAGCCCCTGCACCGTCTAGTGCAGTGTTCCTCAAGGCTCTTTCCTTGATCCCCTCCTCTTCAACATCTATATGCTCCCTCTTGGTGACATGATCCGCAGACATGGGGTCAACTTCCACATGTATGCAGATGACACCCAACTGTACCTCTCTGCCTCCAGCCTTGATTCCAGGACCTCATTTAGATTCAAGTCCTGAATGAGAGCTAACTTTCTTCAGTTGAACGTCAACAAGACCGAGGCCCTTCCGATTGGCTCCCGTCAGCGCCTCTTCCACACATCAGGTGCTGGCAGCATCACCATCCATGGATGCACACTCCACCTTGCTAAGCCAGTCGGGAACCTTGGGTCTTGTTTGACCCTCAACTATCCTTTCTGGAGTCCTGTAGCTCAGTGGTTAGAGCACTCGCTTTGCAAGCGAGAGACCTGAGTTCAATTCCAGGCAGAGGGCGAAACCTTGGGCAAGTTTCCTTACTCCACACAGAGCCTAATAATAATCCCTCCAAAACCAAAAACAATAATAAATTGGTCATTTTCAATCTACGACTGTTTGTGGGACATGGCTATGCGCAATTGTCTGCCGCGTTCGCCCACAAATATACAGTCAATTCACTTTACAGTGTGTTCTGTGAAGCGCTTTGGGACGTCCTCCCGACGTGAAAAGCGCTATATCAAATGCAAGGCTTATTATTATTATTACCACACATCCCTGCCGTGACCCGCTCTGCCTTCCCCCACCTCTGCAACATCCCCCGGCTCTACCACTGTCTCACACCACAGGCCGCCGAAATCCTAATACACACATTCATAACATCAAGGCTTGACTACGCAAATGTCTTGCTTGTCAGCCTCCCCAACTCCTCCCTCCATAGGCTACAGATCATCCAGAACCTGCAGCCTGTTTCCTCTCCAGCACCAGGTTCCGTGACCCTATCACCCCATCCTGGCTTCCCATCACTCAGAGGATAGTTCAAGATCCTGGTCCTCACCTTCAAAGCCCTGCATAGTCTTGCTCCCCGCCTGCCTCTGCGACCTCCTAACTACCTACCATCCTGCTCGCTCCATACGCTCAGCAGACTCCGGCCTGCTTCATGTTCCCTGCCCTGCCCACTCCGCCATTGGTGGGTGGGTCTTCTGCCACTCTGTTCCCACCCTCTGGATCTCCATCCCACAGTCCCTCTGACTTGCCCCCTCCCTTGCCTTCTTCAAGACACATCTCAAGACCCTCCTGTTCAATCGTGATTTCGATCATCCTGCTTCCCCCTCTGCCCTCCACCCTCCCCGATCCTGACCCCCAGCTCGGGTACGAAACACTGATTGTCCAGCACCTTGGGACATCCTGCCGACATGAAAGGTGCTATACAAATGTAATTTTGTTGTTGTTGTTGTTGTCTGGCAAACTTCCCACTGCTTGTCCAGTTAGGACTACCCAACCCATTAGGGCTTGACTTGCAGGGTTAACAGGGGCTGATTGCAGAGACTCTCTGTTCCCAGTTGATGGAGAAGTTGAAGGATGAACATTTGGTTAAATTTAACCTATTTCCCAGGATGTGACATTCCAGAATCAGGATCAAATTCCTACAGCACAAAGGAAGTCTCTAAAGCAGAATTAAAGAAGCCTCTTCTGTTTTAATGTGATTGCCTTAAATTGATGCCTTTACGTTGCTGATTCACTGACTAGTGGAAATAATGTATAAGTGCCTCTATTGTTATCCTAAATAATCTTACAGCTCTCGTCTACAAAATACAGGGTCACTTTACAGTATATCTGTGAAGCTCTTTTGAGATGTCTTCCTGAAGTAAAAGGTGCTGTATCAAATGCTGTATCAACCCCTCATCCCTGGTAACATCCTTGTGAATCTATGCTGTAACTTTCCCATGGCTTATCAAAACCCTCTTGTCCTTTGGTTACCTCGCTACTGCAAGGATTGAAGACTTCACAGTTTGACTGTGATGAGGGTTTCAGATTCAGCTCATTCCTCTGTGAGGAATCCAAGCATTTCTCTTACTGTACCCGAGGGTGAACTGAATTACCAGGATCTTGAACCGGTAGAGGAGAGAATGCGAGTCGGCCAGGCATCCGTATTCAGTATTGATCGGGTTATACTTGGGTACATAGCCATCAGCTCCAGTACACAGGAATACTTTCTCAATGTTACAGATGAAAGAATCTCCCAAGTTTTGCACGGGATCGACCATCACCCGACCGTACACAATGGATCCTGCGGGGAAATGGCATTTAAAAATTAGGAACATAAGGCAGGACATGGGTTTAAATAAAACTAAAGGACAATGTCAGTCTTGACTAAGAGCTAAAGTCTTGAACACACAGCCTTCTGGAGCAAAGGCAAGATTTTGAGCTAACCTGACACTTACTGAAGTGTTTGATGACGTGTGGCTTTTAAGAGATGGATAATAAAGTCTTTGTTGCACGTTTAAAAAGAATAGAGCCAGCACAGACAGAGTGTGTGAACCCTATATATCCTTCCAGCACGGCAGCAGAGCATACAAGCTGAATGGTCTTCTCCAGTAACATAAATTTCTATTGTTTTACTGATTTAATAGGTTTAATTATAATAATAATTATAATCCTTGCATTTGACATAAATGCCTTTCGTGCTATGAGGACGTCTTAAATTGTGGTGACCTTTGTGTATTTTTATAAGCAAATGTTGCAGCCAACTTGTAGACAACAACACCAAAATTACATTTGTATAGCGCCTTTCATATCGGGAAGACGTCCCAAGGCGCTGGACAGAGAGTTACGGCCCTGGACAGCAAAATCTCACAAATAGCCACAAGCAAATAACTAATTTAATCTGGGGGATCGATGGTGTGGAGACCAGGAGAAATGCCCATCTCTTTTCCAATAGTGCAATGGACTCTTAAACATTTACCTGAACATGTAATAATAATAATAATCCTTGCATTTGATATAGCGCTTTTCACGTCGGAAGGACGTCCCAAAGCGCTTCACAGAACACACTGTAAAGTGAATTGACTGTAAATTTGTGGGCGAACGCGGCAGCCAATTGCGCACAGCAATATCCCACAAACAGTCGTAGATTGAAAATGCCAATTTTATTATTGTTTTTGGTTTTGGAGGGATTATTATTAGGCGTGTGGAGTAAGGAAACTTGCCCAAGGTTTCGCCCTGCCTGGAATTGAACTCAGGTCTCTCGCTTGCAAAGCGAGTGCTCTAACCACTGATCTCGGTTATAATAATAATCCTTGCATTTTTATACAGCGCCTTGTCACGGTCTTTGAGACATCTCAAAGCGCTTCACAATATACTGTAACGTAAATTAACTGTATAGTTTGTGGGAGAAACGCGGCAGCCAATTGCGTACAGCAGTGACCCACAAACAGTCGTGGATTGAAGTGACCAAATTCTTCTTTTTCTTTGAAGGAATTATTACCCCCTGAAAAGCGATTCACCAATCAACTACCAACCGGGTTCCTACTCACTGCTATGTAAACAGGTCCTGCCCAACATTTTGCTCTGCCAGAAATCAAACCCAGGTCTCTCGCTTGCGAGGCAAGCGCTCTAACCATTGAGTTACACGACTCCACGGTAATTGACATCAATGACGGAGACCATGGTCAGGTTGGCGTACCTTCTATGAATGCGATATCACTGCCTTCCCCAAATCCCATGGAGCCGTCAGACAGCCACAAAGCCTTCTTGTTCAGCAGGAACATCTGAGTGTTCAGACTGAACTCGGCAGCTACGGGATCACTCACCTGCAGGAGAAAGAGGAGGACCACATGATTTCACAGCCTCGGCAGCAATGCTAAAGACTAGTCTCTTTTTTTTGGTCAGCCGGGTGTCTGCCCCGTCACCGTGTTTAAGAGTATCCAAATCAAGCTGAGAGTTCCAATGCATCCTACCTTCACATGGAAATTCCAGTGTATTGGAATGTGCACTCTATCCCCAGAGGGACACATTCTACTTTATTCTGGAGGATATAAGGCGCAGGTTTGAGGGAGAGGGGAATAGAAGGGTTTGGCGAGGGAGTAAAGGGATGGGGGGAGACTCCTGTGGAATATAAACACTGGCACTGAGTGGTTGGCTTCCATGCTATACAGTCTTTGTAAATCTTTGAAAGCACTGTCATACCATGCTCTCCTGCTGCTTGTCCAGCTAGGGCCACCCTATCCACTAGGGATTTAGTTTGCAGGGTAACAAGAGATGAATAGGAGAATCCTTGCTTCTAGTCTGCCCCTCCAAGTTCTGCCGATGCGTCAGCAGTGCCCTTGAATACTATGGACCCACATGGCTTAGGAACCGGACTATCAAGACCGCCACAGAGAGTTGATTCCAATCTGATATTCCACTGCCAAGCACGTCATCTTGGGGCCCATTCAGCTCCTTGGGAAGACCTCACTTACCTCGCCAAGGAGGACAGTCATCACTTGTTCTTGTGTCCTATATCCCTGACAGATACCACTTTGTGATTCTCAATTGAAGTCCTTCGTTTTTACAAGTCACATCACTCAGAAGGGAGCAGTTTGGGCACAAAATAAATGGTTACCACAAAGCACATTACAATACCAGTCCAGCTAGGACCATCCTACCCACTAGAGCTGGTTGAAGGCATGTAATACTCCTCTGAGTAAATTGTTGAGCTCCCCCATGCTGGTCAACCATCAACAGTGGAAACTGTGGACCTACCAGTTCAGCCTCACAGAGACTCCGCCTTCCACTAGCCCCGAGGGAAGAGAGACAATATTTATTAAAACTGTGGCTCTCACCAGCATCCCTCTCACTGGAGAGACCGCAGTGTGGATCTAGTGAAGTATCTAAAGAGAAGCCTGTGGAGAGCAAAGGGAGAAATTCACTTTGAGCTCAATGATTCTGTACCTGTTGGAATCTGATGTCGAGATCAAAGGTTATGGGCTCTCTGGGATTACAGACGGAAGGTATGGTGTACTCCTGGCTCGGAGCAGAGGTGCAGGGAATCAGCTTCACAGTGTATGTCCCCGAGTAATCTCGTACCTAGAGTGGGCAAATGGATTTTATTTTAAGAAGAACTTAAAAGCCGGCATTAAAACATTGTATATCAAAGCAGCACAATAATAATAATAATCTTTGCATTTGATGTAGCGTTAATCATGTCGTTGAGACATCGCAAAGCTCTTCACAGAATATACTGTATTGTGAATTAACGCAGAATCATAGAATTATGCAGCACAGAAGGAGGCCATTTGGCCCATTGTGTCTGTGCCGGATCTTTGAAAAGAGCTATCCAAATTAAATCCCACTCCTCCGTTCTCTGCCCATAAGTCCTGCAAACTTATCCTCCCCGGAATTAACGATGTATTTTATGGGCGAAAATATGGCAGCCAATTGTGAACAGCAAATATATTTACATATAAATATATATCTATATATACAATACACATTTATATAGTGGCTATCATCTCAGCAGGACGTCTCAAAGGACTTTCTTTACATGGCTGGCTGGCCACCTGAGCTGAAGAAGGTGAGGGGAGGAAGGAGACTGAAAGTGCGGTCAAAGTCTTGAGGGCTTTGGAAGCAGGGAGGGAGTGAGCTTCAGGATGGAGTTCCAGGGAACGGGGGCAGAGCGGCTGAACGCTGGCCTGTTAATGGTGGGGTGAATAGGGTGAGGGACATGAAGCGGGCCGATGCTCGTTGAGTGAAGGGATTAGCAGGGTCAGGTTGTAGGGATAAGGTGGGGCGAGATACTGAATAAATCTACAACCCGCACAGTCACTATGCTTTGCAGTATATCTTGTGAAGAGCTTTGAGACGTCCTCCTGATGTGAAAGGTGCGATTTCAAATGCAAGAATTATTATTACTAATGGTAATAAATATTCACACGCGGTTGGATAAACGCTACTTATGAGGGTAAAGCAAACGTACGGCAAAATCAGAGACGAAGCTCCACTGCTGCTCAGGATGGTTGTAGGTGTGTTCACTGCGCACCAAACTGAGGGTAAAGGTCAGGCCTGGATGGTCAGCCGACATGACCATGGAGCTGAGCTGCGACGCTGGGGAAAGATACAGTGTGTTATTAGGACGTCCCAAAAATAACCCAACAACTACCGGTATTTTTACTGATGGGCGACGCAGAGGTCAATACAAGGGTGCAAACTGCAATCAATGAAGCTGCTCATTGACTGTATTATAGTCATTGGGTTAAAAGGCCTTTCCAAGTTGTGTATGGTGGTAATGGGGTCAAGACTATATCCTATTAACTGGCACTCAAATCTATAGGCCAAGGGATTGACCAATGTGATAGAGTTCGGACGGGGGGGAGCAGGGGGAGGGGAGGGGAATTGGTAAAACCCACAATAAATTTCTTTATTGACTGACTTTCATACAATGCAATTTGTATGTGGAGTCCTGTAGCTCAGTGGTTACAGCACTCGCTTTGCAAGCGAGAGACCTGAGTTCAATTCCAGGCAGAGGGCGAAACCTTGGGCAAGTTTCCTTACTCCACACAGAGCCTAATAATAATCCCTCCAAAACCAAAAACAATAATAAATTGGTCATTTTCAATCTACGACTGTTTGTGGGACATTGCTGTGCGCAATTGGCTGCCGCGTTCGCCCACAAATATACAGTCAATTCACTTTACAGTGTGTTCTGTGAAGCGCTTTGGGACGTCCTCCCGACGTGAAAAGCGCTATATCAAATGCAAAGATTATTATTATTATTATTAATTTTCACCCCGTAATAACAGACTAAGGCAGGGGTAGGCCATTGGTGGGGCGTGGAACATCCTGTTAAGTAAGGTGGCAGAGACAGAGTCCAGTGTGGGTTTGAAGAGGGACGTAGGCGACCCATTCCGGAAACGAGGCTCACCCCGGAACTGTTTGACAAAGCCGAGAAAGAGACTCACCAGGATGTGACATCACGAAGAGGCCCCGGAAGCGAGCGTCAGTCCGGAAATTCACCACCAAACGCCCCTCGTTGTTAATCCGCATGCTGGTCGGGTAAAGGGCACCTGCAAGCAGAGGGAAGTCATGGTGTTAGTAATGCAAGGCATCTTCCCACCCCCATCCCCTTAGCTCCCACACCTCCCGAATCCAACTCCCAGTTTGGTTTCAAACCCTTGAGTGTTCAATGCCTTGGGATGTCCACCTGATGTGGAAGGCGTTATATAAATGCAATTTGCTACTGTTGCACTGGATCGGTTTGTGTTTATCTGCCCTCAAGACCGTTACTGTACTTTACAGAATATCCTATGAAGCATTTGGGGATATTCTCTCTCCATGAAAGGTTCTACATGCAACATATGGATTATTATTATGCTTTTAATAATAATCATCATAATAATTGCAGTTGATATAGTTAATGTCTTTCACGTCAGGAGGTCATCTCAAAGCCCTTCACAGGATTCGCTGCACAGTACAGTGGCTTGTGTTTTTTGCAGGCGAACATGTTAAGTACATTTCCGTGGCAGGGAGAAAGGATATGAGACAACGGGATCTTGGAAGAGTTCCAGAACGCAGGGGAATATTGGCTAAAAGCTCGGCCACCAACAGTGGGATGGAAGGAGTGTGGAATAGATCGGAATCAAAGTATGGGAAATGGGCAGGAGAACAGGGCTGTAGAGGTGGAGGAGTGGCGGGGAGGGGAAGACAATGAAACAAAATAATAATAATAATAATCCTTGCATTTGATATAGCGCTTTTCACGTCAGGAGGATGTCCCAAAGTGCTTCACAGAACATACTGTAATTAACTGTATATTTGTGGGTGAACGCGGCAGCCAATTGCACACAGCAATGTCCCACAAACAAGGGGAATTGAAGTCAATCTGCCGGGGCACTTGAAAATCGTCTCAATTCTTAATTTCAGTTTAATTTTTAAGCTGTTTTTCTGCAGTTGTTAAGGAGTGGGAACGCCGGCTGATTTTCCTCCCCTGAACCCAAGGTTAATCGTAGCTTCCTAAGTGCATCTCCGGCACAGGTTAAACATGGCTAGCCCAGCACAGAACCAGGTAGCTGATCTTTGCCAGGGAGATTGAAGCCAGGCTGGGAAATTCCTAGTCTGTGGCTCAGCTCCTCACTGAGTCAGCGGGGAGTCTATTGCTGCCGTTTTAACTGTTCTGCAGGGAGTCTGTGAAATGGTGGTTATGACAACCGAGACTCATTAGCAGATGGATTGCTGCCAACTGGCAACCTTTTGTTTAATTGAATAGGTGTTAATGAGTGGCAGGACTAGATGCGGAGGACACATGTCAGGCAACGGACGTACAGGCAGCGAGGCTCACATTCCAGGAAGCAATTTCACTTTATTTTCAAAAATAAATGTAATATTCTTTGCACGTTGCGTAAAAGAAGCAGCGTTGGTTGTTTGTGAAATGGGACAGAAACCGAGTCCTGTAGGGGACAAGCTGTCCCATTGTGACCTACCCTAATGGGCCACTCTCTCCAGGCAATTAATTGCTGAACGTCTGACATTAATTATAAAAACGTCAACCATCGTGGCTGTTCACACAGCTGATAACGTCAAGGAACATTCCTGCCGGATTCATGATTGCACAGAGCATTGCAAACAAATGATACCCTAACAATAAAATTTACATTTACACAGCGCCTTTCCTGTCATGAGGATGTACCAAAGTGCGTTATGTTGCTGGCTGTGCACCTGAGCTGGGGGTTGTGTGGGGGGGGAGGGAGAGGGGAATTGAAGACAGTGTGGAGGGAAAAAGACAAATGAAAGCACGGCCAAAGTATTAAGTATCGAGGCAGGTTTTGGAGGCAGTGCGGAGGGAGGGAATCAGTCAAATGGATTTATCGAGCACAGTTTTCAACTTTTTGGTCTGGATTACAATACTTGAAAGGCAGGTAAAGGGGACTGAACGGATTGCTCTTTAAAATAATCAGCACAGACACAATGGACCAAATTGCAATCTTCTGTGCTGTTTATTTCTATGGTTCTAACATAGTGGTGATCAACCCATGGCCGTCAAATAGCTCCCGCCCCCACCCACCCCGAACATATCCACTCGTCTGGGTAAATCCATGTTCATTTGTAACGCTACACACAGGAGAATAGGTGCGTAGAGAAGGTTGCATTTGATGAGGCGCAATTTAGTGACACTCCCTGGATTCAGCATATAAAGCATAAAAAAAAATTCTGGACCAAAGGCAAAATAAATGACCTCCTGTGATACCAAACTCAATTTGAACTAAACGTGACGGCACCATAGAAAACATTTAAGTGTCTCTTCTATAAGTAACCCTCCCACCTCCACCCCCTTCCCTCCAGCCCTCCTGTCCCCAACTCCCCAACACCCTTGACTGCCCAGCGCCCTGGGACGTCTTTCCGACATCCTAACCCTATACGAGTGTAATTTGTTGTTGTTGTTGTTGTAACAAGACACTAACCCTGCAGTTCTGCCTCCGGGGGGCTCCCGATACCATCGCGCCACAAGATGGCAGTGTCGTACACAAACGTCAAGCGAAGCTCTGACTGGAGGTCAAAATGCTGCCACCCTCCAACACCCACCGGGGAGTGGAACACATAGGAGACGTAGAGAGGCACTCGCAGGGTCACGTAGGACTGCACCAGGTTCAAAACCTGAAGAGAGAAGCGGGTCGAGAAAAGCAAAGCAGGATTCAGCACACAATTCATTCACCAGCTATCGCATCAAACTAATATTTCGCCCACAAAATACAAAATACAAAATACAAATTTACTTTGCCGTCTATTCTGTGAAGCGCTTTGAGATGTCTTGAAGATGTGATAAGGCGCTATATCAAATGCAAGGGTTATTATTATAATAATACTGTTTGCTGGTGGGATTTCCGCAGCATCTCTCCCTGAAAGAATAGCCCGAAGTGCATTGGCTTGAAATCTGCGATATTTTATATTTGATGTGATAATTTGCAACATTCCCTAACAGATTTGATGTGTAAATTTGTTACATTTCTGAACAAAATTCAAGGCGATAATTTGTGATATTTCATATCAGATTCAATGTGATAATTTGCAGCATTTAACTGTGATCACATTGAATCTGTTCAAAATGTTGCAAATTTCACTCCATCTTTTCCTTTAAGGCAATGCAGTTGTATATCAGATGCAATGACAAAGATGGGGGGTGGGGGCGGGATATGTAATGAATTGCCCTGAATGTGTGGTTCCACTCCCCCCATCTTCCAGCCATCCTAGTTGTTTCCCGGGGGGTAATAATCCTTTTTTAAAAAGTAATTATTGGGTCACTCAATCCACGACTGTTTGTGGGTCAGTGCTGTGTGCAATTAACAACCGTGTTTCGCCCACAAAATACCGTCAATATTACTTCATAGTGTACTGTGTGAAGCATTTGAGATGTATCGACAATGTGATAAGGTGCTATTTCAAATTCAAGGATTATAAGGATTATTCTAGCCATTTCATGACTTGGAGGTCACGTGATAAGGTCATGTCACACCCCCCCCCCCCCCCAATCACCACATGTCTTTACCATGTGTTATTAATGACAGAAAAGCTCCCTGAGGTGTGATACGAGGGACATAATTCAGCGAGTGAGGTCCTGAAGCACGGATCTCCCTTCACTTGCTGGACACCAACAGACCCATTTCACAGATCACATCTTGCCCGGTCACCAGCTGAAGTATTCTTTTGTTCATTGACTGGTACTCCCAAACAGATCAGAAGAGAAGTTCAAAATCTCAAGAGAAAGGACATTATGGGCTGTAATACTGGTAGTATTAATATTGTGGAGTCCTGTAGCTCAGTGGTTAGAGCACTCGCCTTGCAAGCGAGACACCGGGTTCAATTCCAGGCAGAGGGCGAAACCTTAGGCAAGTTTCCTTACTCCACACAGAGCCTAATAATAATCCCTCCAAAACAAAATAATAATAAATTAGTCATTTTCAATCCACAACTGTTTGTGGGACACTGCTGTGCGCAATTGGCTGCAGCATTTCGCACACAAATATACGGTCAATTCACTTTACAGTATATTCTGTGAAGCGCTTTGAGACTCTAGAAGACATGAAAAGCGCTATATCAAATGGAAGGATGATTATTACTGATAAAAACCCTTGCATTGATGCAGTGCTTCATCACATCGAAACGTCTTGAACAGCTTCACGCAATGCGTCACTTTGAACTGCAGTGATTTTGTATATATACCAACAATGAGCCACACAATGCCTCACTAACAGCAATTATTCTCTCTTTGGAAATAATTTTGGGCAGGACATGAGAACAGCTCCCATTCATCCTCACACTATCCACTTGAGTGAATGGTCGAGACCTTACTTTAGCATCTGATCTTCTCTGGGAGAGGAGGCGAAAACCGAGAGGTAAAATAAAAGCAGGGACTGCAGAAATATTATTAATAATGTGTGCCTTATCTCACCCTCCTTTATAATAAAAATCCTTGCGCTTGGTATAGGGCCTGATTATGTCATTCGAGACGTCTCAAAACACTTCAAAGGATTTACTGTGAAGTGTAGTGACTCCGTATTTTGTAGGCAAACAGCAGACAATTTGCGCACAGCAATGTCCCCAGAAACAAACATGAAGTGTTGGTCAGGACTCTTGGAGAAACTTCCTTCTCTTTTTGAATAGTGCTATGGGATCTTTAACATTAATATTAATACTTACATTTGAACTAGGGCCTTATTGAGTAATTGAGACATCTCAAAGCGCTTCACAGAAGATACTGTAAAGTAAGATTGATGATATATTTTGTGGGTGGAAAGTGGCTGCCAATTGCACATGGCAGTGTCCCACATCCACCTAGACAAGCAGACATGACCTTTAACATCTCATCTAAAGGACGGCACCTCTTCCAATGCAGCCGGATATTATTCTTATAACAATCATCAGCATCTTAATTTCTCCTTTAAGGACCTGAAACCAGGAACGTCTAAACCTGCAGCAATAACAAAGTGTTGTCTACCTGTCCATCAGTGCCAATGGTGCCCCCACAGTCTGTGAGCAGCTCAGACATGTCGTAGAAGCTGACGAACTCCCACAGACAGGCTTCCAGGTTCAAGTTGCGGTAGAAGCGGAGGGTGGAGGAGCTGCGTAAGGCTGAACTGTACTGGTACGGGGACGTCTCGCCAATCACCTCCGGGTTCTTGGTGGAGTCCGACAGGAAGCCGTAGCGAGTCTTCACTTCATTGTAGTCCAGAAGGTTCGAACATCTGTGGTTTCCAACCCGCGTGCCGTCGGGACTGAGAGTCAGCTCAAAGTTTGACAGCTGTCGGGTGGAGACAATGGGGAGCATACCTAAAGCACAGACATGCAGTTAGTCAGTCAGTTAGGTCTTTAGATTTATTTTGAAAGAAATATAGGATTCCTCCATCTATTGCCTACGAGTCCGAAGGCTCTGGGTTTCTGGGTTCAAGCCCCGCGCTAAGACTTGAACTCATACAAGCTAGGCTGACGCTCCAATGCCGCACAGAGGATGTGCCGCACTGTCGGAGGTGCCGTCCTTTGGACGAGACGTCAAGTCTTAGTCCCATCTCCCCGTTCAGGGGGATGTTAAAGATTCCACAACACTATTTGAAAAGGGAAAGGAGTTTCTCCCGGTGCACTGGCCAACATTTCCTTAAATATAGAGCACTCGCCTTACAAGCGAGAGGAACTGGGTTCGATTCCCGGAAGGGCAAAATATTGGGCAAGTTTCCTTACCCCACACGCTTCTGTTTACCCAGCATTAAGTAAGAACTCGGTTGTTAGTCAATTGGTGGATTGCTTTTCCGAGGGATAATAATTTGTTCCAAAAATAATAATAATGAATTGATGCCTTCAATCCATGACTGTTTGTGGGACACTGCTGTGTGCAATTGGCTGCCATGTTTCGCTGACAAAAACATACAGGCAATTCACTTTACAATATATTCTGTGAAGTGCTTTAAGACAACTAGAAGATGTGTTCAGGCACCTTATCAAATGCAAGGATTATTATTATTATATATAAAATTGTTCATTCACTTCATAGCTGTTTGCAGCACATTGCTTTGTGCACTTTGGCTGGAGTGTTTACCTACAAAATAAACACTTTACTATGAAGCTCTCTGAGGTAATATAATAATCTAATATATAATAATAATCCTTGCATTTGAATATAGCGCCTTTCACGTCTTCTCGACGTCTCAAAGCGCTTCACAGAATAGACTATAAAGTGAATTGACCGTATATTTGTGGGTGAAACGTGGCAGCCAATTGCACACAGCAGTGTCCCACAAACAGTCGTGGATTGAAAATGACCAATTTATTATTGTTTTGTTTTGGAGGGATTATTATCAGGCGTGATATCCTGATGTGAAAGGCACTATATCAAATCCAAGTATTAGTATTATTATTTGCCGGCAGGGCAAAACCTGGGGAAAGTTTCCTTACTCCACACGCCTGATAATAATCTCTCAAGAACAAAAAACAGTAATAAAATTGGTCAGTTCAATCCACAACTGTTTGTGGGATATTGCTGTGTGCAATTGGCTGCTGCATTTCGCACACAAATATACAGTCAATTCACTTTACAGTATATTCTGTGAAGCGCTTTGAGACGTCTAGAAGACGTGATGAGGCACTATATCAAATGCAAAGATCATTATTATTATTTATAATAGCTGCTGCTGATCAGTCTGCCACAAGATGGAGCTTTGACATTAAGCAATCGATGTGTGACTCAGTTATAATAGTCATCCTTGCATTTTATATAATCGCCTTATTACATCATTGAAATGACACAAAGTGCTTCATAAGATTTACTGTAATGTGTAGTGACCGTGTATTTGGTGGGAAATTGGACAGTCAATTGGTGCCCAGCAAGGTTCCACAAACAGCCATGGGGTGCATGACCAATTTTATGTGGGTGATTGTTGGCCAGGACACCTGGAGAAACTCTTCTCTTTTTGATTTGTGCCGTGGCTACAGTGGAGTCCTGTAGCTCAGTGGTTAGAGCACTCGTTTTGCAAGCGAGAGACTAGGTTCGATTCCCGGCAGGGTGAAACCTTGGGCAGGTTTCCTTACTCCACACGCCTGATAATAATCCCTCAAGAACATAAAACAATAATAAGATGGTCACTTCAAATCACGACTGTTTGTGGGACACTGCTGTGCGCAATTGGCTGCCGCATTTCGCTCACAAATATACAGTCAATTCACTTTACAGTCTATTCTGTGAAGCGCTTTGAGACATCTAGAAGACGTGAAAAGCGCTAAATCAAATGCAAGGATTATTATTATTGCAGTGTTTCCCCACCAACACTGCACTGGAATGTCAGTTAAGTCGAGACATACAAGTTTGTCCCTCCATTGCTCCCTTTCTGCGCAAACCACACACACACTAAACATTTAACAAGCATTCCCCAAGAACACAACAGTGAAGACTCCAGCGGTGTGAGGTGCATTGGTGATCCTACCATCGATGTGAGGCATTGTTACAGTCACTTTGATGAGATTGGGGTGGTCGGGGTCTTCGGGTCCTGTGTAACGCAGTTTCGCAGAGAAAGGCTCAGCTCCGACTGCTCCTTGTACCCTGGGCTGGCACAGACCTGATCGACAGAGGAACCACATTGTAAATGGAACTGAAGTAACCACAACTACAACTTGCATTGATTTAGTGCCTCTCACGCAGAGTGGCGTTCCAGAGCATCTGACAGTGGCGGAGTTGAACATGACTGTAGTTGAACATGGCAGTGGCTGAGCACGACACCCAACCGGGGGGAGGGGGAGGTGATCGTAAGCACGATGGAAGAGGAAAGTCTTCAGGCGTGACCTGAAGATGGGGACAGAGGGGGCAAGGCGGAGTGATTGAGGGAGAGTATTCCAGAATTTGAAAGCGCAAAATTATTAGCATTAGTTTAATGTAATAGCCGTTTGGACAAACTGACTATGATTCTGAACAAGCATCACCATTGTTAAAGATATATAAAAGCTTTAACATAATGTACCACACCTAACACAGACTCTGATCTCCGCTGATCCTGGTTGCACACTGAGGAATATACTTATCTAGGGATATAGAGTTTGGATAAAATAATGCCAATAAAATGACATGTGTGAGGCTAAAATGTAAAACAAACTATAAATATCGTACAACGGGGAATATTTCAGGTAATTAAATTACAAGAGTAATAATTCCTGGGGAATAAATATGCAATTCTTATTAGTTCTGTACGTTGTCTAAACATCATGCAGTACGACTTATACTGTCGTTAGGAAATGGTATCTTGCATGAAGCACTGGCATATTTCATGGTGTCTTTTTCGGCTAGGATTGCAAGCTATTACAGTGAAACTCTGATAATTAGTTAACCCAACATAATAACTAGTCACTCACTCAATATCCTGGATATTTGAGTATTTTGTACTTTTGAGATCTTGTACTTTGAATATCTAGTCACCTCTTATAAGTGGTCATTTGACAAGTTATCAGTTTCACTGTAGCTGAACATGAACTCTAGCATTGTCTGGTTGGATTGATCAGCCTGTTTCGGTAACATAACCTTCTAGGTAATTTTATTCTCCAGCCATTAGGCCTTTGCGTACATGAGGGACAAAGGAACAGCGTGGAATTGGAAAGGGAGAGGAGTTTAGGAGGGGTAGAGACTCATGTGGAGTAAAATCACTGGCACAGTCCGTGTTGTCACATCCCACCACACTCCATATTAAGCAGACCTTGATCTCATCCTTCTAAAACATCTAACCTAATGCCTTCCTATCATAGCAGCAAGGTATTTCTTAAGAGTCCAACGTACTGGCCTCAACCACCTTTAGATCTCACAAAACAAACATTTGAGATTTGCTTTCGGGCCTTTTGACTTGACCTGGAAAACATTTGTCCTCATTACCTACCTTCCTGAACGCTTACAGACACAATAGGGCTCGTCAGTTCCAGCCCTTCGTCTCCATTGGAGTTGACGGCACGGGCCGCACATTGCACCCGAGAGCCAGCCTGGAAGTAGATGGAGTCCAGGGTAATGATCTTGGACGAGGTGAAGAAAGTGTTGGAGTCCACCTCCCTCATGGGGCTGGTCACCCCGTCAGGCCCAGTGGGGGCGCTCACCAGCCAACGGTAGCGAGTTAGGGTGTCGTTGATGTGCTCACTGCTACAGATTGAGCCTGTCTTGTCATAATCAGCATACTTAGGGTTGCAGGCCTGTGAGAAAGAAAGGAACGGTGTTAGAGACTAGCAGCAAAGAGCACTGCAGTCTGTAATAATATAATAATCCTTGTGTTTGCTATAGCGCCTTATCACGTCTTCGAGACGTCTCAAAGAGCTTCACAGAATATACTGTAAAGTGAATTGACTATATGTTTTGTGGGCCAAACGCGAGAGGTGGATTTTACTGTAAAGTATAGTGACCGTATTTCTTATACAAATCTCCCGAGCCTTTTCTTTAATAGATTTCCAGCTTCTGTAGATCCATAGTTTTTCTTTGCAACTCATATCCTCTGTTCCAGCTGTCATATTTAATGAGCCTTACATTTGATATTGTACCTTTAGTGTCGAGAGGCTGTCTCAAAGCTCTCCACAGGATTTTACTGTGAATCACACAAATCACTTTGTTCTCTATCTCTCCGACCTGCTTACACCCCACTCTTTTACCCGCCCCCTTCACACAGCCGTCTCTAGCCTCTTACTTGTTCCTCACTGATGGCTGTGCTTTCAGCCACTACGCCCCGAGACTCTGGAACATGCCTTTGTGCCCAAATAGTCCATGCCAGTGTATATAATAATAAAAATCCTTGCATTTGATAATAGTGCCTTATCATGTCTTCGTGACGGTTCAAAGCGCTTCACAAAATATACTGTAAAGTGAATTGACTGTATATTGTGTGGGCGAAACGCAGCAGCCAATTGCACACAGCAATACTCTTCATGGGTCGCCACGCACTCTTTACTATCTCCCACATACTTCTATTCCACTCTCCCTCACGTGTATAAAAAGGTTCCTCCGAAATGCATCAATACTATCTGCTGAACCACCACTTTGGGCAGCGAGTTCTACATTCTCATTACCCACAGTGTAAACAAGTCCCTCTTAAATTCTCTTTTGGATCCGTGCACCTCAATTGATCCAGTCACACATATAACGTGCCCTTGATTCAATCCTGCAAGTTTGGGGTCAAAACCAGTCTAGCAAGCCACTTAGCCCAATTAGTTTGTTTTAAATAAATTGCTCTCAACCATCTCCAAAACGTCTGGGACTTGCATGTTGTAATGTGGTTGCCGGGGAACACTTACTGTGACGCAGACGACAGGGTAGCCTGCCTCCGGGTAAGGTGTTTCTTTAGCTCTGGAGGTGTCATCATATATAAGCAGCGAGACAACTTGAGGAATGGATGGGAATGTCACGTCAGCCATGCTGTTCATCTCCTCGATGTACACGATCGCTTTACTCATCTAGGAAGAAATAACTGTATTTTTATAATGTCTTAAAGACAAAGAAACGGCTCAAACTGCTTCAGAAAAACAACAACAACAAGAGCCACTTGCGTTTATATAATACCCTTCGCTCAGTGTAGCGTCTCTAGTTGTTACCAAATGTAGAGGCTGTTTTGTTTCTGCAAACGCAGGAGCCGCTTTGCACACAGCAAGATCCCGCAAACCACCTTGATCATTTATAATAACATTCCTTACATTTGGTGTCGCACCTTTCAGTCGGGACGACGTCTCAAAACGCTTCACAGGATATAATGCAAACTGTAGATGAAAGCCTACAAGTCAGGAAGTATAGCAGGCTAGGACACTGGGAGAAGAAACTGCCTTTCGAATAGCTTCGCAGGTTCATTTAACGTCCACCTGAAGAACATCTCATCCAAAGGATGTCAACTTCTGACAACGCAGTACTCTATAGCACTATAGCGTCAGCGTAGACTGTGAGCTCCAATCTAGAACACACCATGATAGGTACTAAAGTATTAAGCCAGGGTTTGATACCTGATCCAGGAAGGTTGCAGTGCTCTAGGGCACTCCAATAACTCAAGATCTTTCTTAAATGTATTTGTGCTTTTTAAACTGAGCTTTATTAGTACTGAGGAATGGAAGAATGTTTCAGATTTGGCACCGCCTGTTAGCATCAAGTGCTCCCAGGTCTGGCTCAGAACCAGCCAGTGGCACACAGGAGAACTCTCTCTGCTCCACAAATATATCTTAATCTTAGCCTGAGTAGATCAGCCCCACTGCAACAAACAGTGTGACATTTTCATTTCCCACGCTAGCCATCCTTAGAGCTGCTGCAGAAATTGCCAATTCAATGCCAAGTGTCTGGCAGTGTGTGTGATTGTGGAATGGTGCCCCTAGGAATTGGCTTCAGACTGCATTAACTCATTTGCAATCTTTTTTGTTTGACACATGTTGAAACTCCTTGTCGGGCTCAACATTGTCCGGTTCTAGCAGCTGGGAACTCACAGAGGCTAAGTTTCTCTGAGTAGTTTCTACAGTGCTCATTCTCTCACTCAAAGGAGGGAAAGGCGTCTCAATCACCCACAGATATGGATTAGCAGACATTGGAGTATTACGCAGCCCAAGTGTCCAGCTAGGCCCGTCCTACCTGATAGGGTATTGACTTGCAAGGGTATCAAGAGCTGACTGAGAAGAATTGACATTTGTATAGTGCCAGGAGGACATCCCAAGGCACTGGACAGTCAGGGATTTGGACCTGAGGGTGGTGGGGGCTTGGATCAGGGAGGGTGGAGGGCAGGAGGTCGAAGAGGAGGGTCTTGACACATGCCTTGAAGGAGACAAGGGAGGGAGCGAGGCAAAGGGAATGTGAGATGGTTGGGCAGGGGATATGGAGCAGGCTGGAGTCTGCTGAGCAGAGGAATTGGACAGGTTGATAAGGAGTTAGCAGCTCACAGAGGCAATGTTATGACCCCCCCCCCCCCCGACCCCAGGGAGCACTGACTGTTGGCTGCACTACAACACGACCTTTTGGACCTTCAAAGTCTGGACCTTCACCACCACTTTACAACTGGAGAAGACTATGGTAAGTTGTACCTTTCATAATATTTAATTCATCTTATTTTTAATAAGAAATTTAACAGTGAACACACTGAGCTTGTGTACCTGGGTTTCCGCCACCATGTTCTCATCAGGCTTCAGATGGATGGTGAAGGCCTCTCGCATCTCTCTCACGCCGTCGTACAGCACCTCAACCTCCACAATGTGCTCAGTTTGACCCTCTTTAAATTCAATTTCTGAAAATGGATGAAAACCATGGGTGTCAATTGAGAACAAAACACTGGGATCTGACCTGGAATCAATTAATTTCTGTGAAGTGCTTTGAGACGTCCTCCCTCCCGACTTGAGAGGACTACATCAAAATGCAAGGATCATCGTTATCACCCGAGTCCTGAAATTTCTTATGGCCTTAACCTTAAGACGATTGAGTGAGCAACAATCTTCTTCAAGTTAATTTAAGACCAGTTCTTACCTCCTTCCCTTCCCTCAAATGAGGCAGCTTTAATTGTGCTTCTTTAATAATTGTGTTGGGATGTGTGAGGTAGAAATTCCACCTTTGTCTAAAATTGATGTCATTCGAATTTGCCACAATTTGGCAAATTCGTAAAAACAGCCTTCATTTTGAAGCTAATTTTCAGCAAGTTCTTCTTATAGAAGATTGTCTTTTAAGTTAAGATTGAACTCATAGTTTAACAAATTCTGGATCCGTTTTAATAAAAACTAACAATAATCCTTGCAATTGTGGGAGGACGTATCAAAACATCAACCAAAGCTTCACAAGATTTACTGGAAGTGCAATGACTGTGTATTTTGTAGGCAAAAAGCTGTTTTGCACACAGTAATGTCTCACAAATAACCACAAAGTGTATGACGAATTTTATAAACACATGTGTGGAGAGAATTAATGCAAACGATGGATGAAAAGTATTACAGAATATGTAATCCTCTTCATTGCTCATTAATTATATAACTAAAAGCACAGAGAACCATAGAAACTTACAGCACAGAAAAAGGCCATTTGGCCCAACGTTTCTGTGCTGGCTTTTTTAAAGAACAATGCTTTCAACAACAACAAGATTACATTTGTATAGCGCCTTTCATGTCAGGAGGACGTCCCAAGGCGCTGGACAGAGTACAGCATTTCAGACCCGAGCTGGGGTCAGAGGGGGAGAAGGGAGAGGAGGGGAAGGGGGTGGCCGATGGCATGGTTGAAGAGGAGGGTCTTGAGGCAGGACTTGAAGGAGGCTAAGGAGGGGGCGAAGTGGAGTGATTGGGGGATGGAATTCCAGAGGTTGGGGGCCGAGTGGCTGAAGGCTCTCCCGCCAAAGGTGCGGCGGGTGATTTCAGTCACATTTACCTGGTCCTTTCCACATTCCCCTATAGTTTACTGCCTTTTAGATATCTATCCAATTGCCCCTTGAATGTTAATAAGGATTCTGCCTCAACAACAACAACAACTTGGATTTATATAGCGCCCTCCATGCCGGACGGCACCTCAGAGCGCTTTACAGTTTAGGATCAAACACCATTCCTGACAGGGCATTCCATATACAAACAACTCTGTGCATGAAAAATATCTCTTAAACTCCCCATTTGCTATCTTACATTGTGCTCCAGGTCATAATTTTCACCCCTTTGATTTTCACGTGTTTAGTTGTTTTTATAACAACATTTTTTATTTATATATCCCCCTTTACGTGGGGTAGTGTCTCAGAGAGTTCAACAACCTGACTTGGGAAAACAGGATGATAAAAATAATGGCTGGAAGAGTGCAGGTAGATTAAGGGATGCTTTTCCTTATTCAGCTGTTCAAAAACAATAATCTAGAGGAAAAAACACAAACACACTTTTGTTTTTGATCTACTTTCCAACATTGCAATGATAATTAAAATGATTTAAATGTAGCTTTCCTGGTCTTCGAGCTAACTTATTAAAAGGCCGATTTGGGGGCTGCAGGTTCACGCCTTGTTCACTGCGATGAATACATCCCTAGACATTATTTCCAGACTAAAGAATTGCTCAAAATGCACATCTCAAAAGGTGCATCGAGAAAGAAACAGGTCAAATCAGGTATCAGTCTCCAGCCCCAGCTGCTGCAGGGCACTTCTGTCTTAACTTCGGCAGAAGCCTTTGAAAGAACAGACAAGCCGCAGATACTTGAGTGCTGTGAGCTGCATTACCAATTATTGTTGTGTGAAATTCTCTGCTGACCGTACCTTCTGACAAGGGATTGTAGTCTTCCCCGGAGATGGCCGAACCGTCCTTTGTGTGGACTCGCACGACAGAAACCTTTGAAGTGTCCCCCAGCCGAAGAACTGGGATTTTCACGACTGCGATGAGGCCCGGCTCTTTGGGCTCGCCGATGCTGAATTTGGTCTCTCCAAACCTAATGATGGCCTCTGTAGACGAAAGAGAAACAGCCGTCAGTGCTGGCCGACAAGCGCTCACTCGCTCGATCGATGCCGGGCGTTGCCTCACAGCGAAATGTAGGGGCCATTTACTCACTGTCTGCGTGGTCTTTGATCTTTATCAGCGTCTCGTTCTGTTCGCCGATGGAAGCGCCGAATGGTGACTCGCTCTGGGGTGTCCCCAAGACCAGCCTCAGCTCCTCCTCGTCCTCATGAATCGTGTCGTCGTTTAATGTCACAGAGCAGGGCTTCTCGATCTCATCTGGAGCAAGAGGGTCCAATGTCAGGAACACACTTGCGAAAAGATGCTCCTTATTTAAAGAGAAACCACGAGAACCGTATCCCACTTAAGTTATACCCTGATTAAGAAAGACTTTTTTTTTATATAAAAGAACTGGGGAAATCTGAAGCAAACCCTACAGCGACGCTTTGCTGCTCAAAAACGATTGTTAAGCTGTCAAAAAATGTGTCCTGGCAAAAGGACAGGAAATTGCTCAAAGGATGGTTTCCGATCCCTTCATTGTACTTCCCTACACAAGCTACTGCTACAGACAAAGAGCTGGAGCTGTTGTATTTCTGTCTATTCAGATGTGTTCTTAAATCCCGGTGCAATCTGTGTACTATTGGCAACAATGGGGAATGCAATACTGCGGAGACATTGTCTGCATAAAGTCTGAAGAACAAACCTCAAAGTGCTTTCAAAGAGCACGTTCCAACCGAACCACTGGAGAATGCATTGAAAACATTTCTGTGAAAACGGGTTTTAATTTCTAAATTATTACCCATGCTTTTCTTTGAGAGGGGAATAAGTTCCCTCCACCCTTCCCCACCCCCATCACCTCCCACCCTGATCTCCCCTCCCAGTACATTTGAAGTGTTTACGTGTGCGTTTTTCCTCTTTGTACGTACACGCTAACATTCCACGTGGATTACCTAAAGTTTCATTTGGTGCCAGAGACTCTGACTGATTTCTCACAGGGCTGATGTTTCTCCAAATGTCTCTTAAACCCCTTATGATTTGGCGTCAAGTCAAACTGCAGGGAGCTAGCTGAAAGGTACCCTGAGTATTTTAAATGGTATTTGTCCGCATGGCCTATGCTTGCACTTGCCTCTCCTGGGCGCTTGGCCCAATATTAGTCCGCCTCAGAAAGGCAGTGTTCCAGTCTTCAAGAGATGCTTCTGTGCTGGTCTTGGCTCCTGGGGCAGGTGAACGCACTCTGCTTACTGTGTGAGTCGGGTAATACCGCACTGAACCAACATGCAAACCACAAGGTGTGTACACAATAAACCATGATGTGTGTACACGATACTCCACAAGGTGTGTATATAATACTCCACAAGGTGTGTACATAATACTCCACATGGTGTGTACACAATACTCCACAAGGAGTACAACATCTATATCGCCTCCACTGCTGCCCCACTGAGGCACTACAGAAGTACCTCCACTTAAAAACCCCTCCTAATTTGAACACCTCTATCAGGTCTCTTTTCAACCTCTCTGCCCTCGTAAAAAGAGGGTCCACGTCTCTAGTCTTTCCTCATATGGTATTGACTTAAGAGATCAGTCATGATCTAAGAAAGGGCAGAGTAGATGTGAAAGGTTGAATGACATACTCCTATTCCCATGTTCCTATAAATATGGGGATTGGGGTGGGGAATAACAGCAAAATTGAAACAAAATGTTAAGTCAAATATCCCAAACCAAATCTCTCTCTCTCTTTTTATATATATACACATACAGGGTGACCGAAAAGTTGTGATACCATATATTGTCTAATAATTAAAAGAAATGAAGAAGTAAAGTCATTATTATTAAAATAAATAGTATCACGACTTTTTGGTCACCTTGTACATATAAATTAATTACTATTTGAGAAATAAAAGTTGAAAAGGGTAAAACTGGTGACAAGAGATAGCGGTGTCTCAGACACGATGGACTGAAATAGCCTCTCTGGGCTGGAAAATGGTCTATGCTCTGCATAAAGGTCACCGTGCAGTTACCTGGAAGGAACGTAATGATGGACTCATCTGTGTTTGGACGCTCGTCGAAATCCATCATGACCTGGGCTGAGCCCTGACGCGTGTAGCACCGCACGGTGGATTTGTAGCTGATGTCACCACTTCTATAGACCACCGCTGTGACCCGTCCATCCTTCTCGTTCCCCACATACAGAGTGTCTTTGAACTGCACCTTCGGTACTTCAGGAAAGAAACAATAGGTTATGGATTTGCCTGTTCGTTAAATACTTGTGGACAAGAAATCTCCTGTAAATCAGAAAACCTGCTTCTTCCCATTTTTCAGTTATGTTTTATTTTTCAGTCACAAGATCAGTTGAAAATAATCCACCAGGTGTCCTCCCTCACTTTGTTTCATAAATCACACAGTCACTCCACTCTACAGCGATCCTGTGAAGCACTTTGTGACACCTTCCTGCCAAGAAAGGTTCGGTACCAAATTTAAGGAAATTGATATGGCACCTCATCATGTTATTAAAATGCCTCAAAGCGTTTCCTAGAATTTACTGTACAATATATACAAAGTTACATTTTTGTAGCGCCCTTCACGTTGGCAGGACGTCCGAAGGCACTGGACAGTCAGGGATTTGGACCACTGCAGAGTGTAGTGACTGTACTTTGTGGACAAACCCATTTTGTAGGTTATTTTTTAAGCTTCAAATGAAAGTGCCTTTTGCATCGGGATGACATCGTACAGCACTTAACAGAATTGATGAAAAGCGAGGCTGGATGGCAGGGATGGGATGGGAAATATTGACGAAAGCACGAGGAAGCACGGTCAAAGAGGTAGAACCTTGAACGGAGTGACGGAGGACTATATTTTAGTCCTTTTCTTGGTTAAACAATTTGACTGTTGCGTTAAATGCCTGAGCAGCTTCTTGGCACATTTTGACGAGCTGTCGTAGTGACACTGAGCACAAAGCCGTGAAGACTTACAGTCAGAGACGGAGTCGTTAATGACTACGGTGACTCTGCTGGGCACCCCGAGAATGGCGTTCATGGGCATGCGGAGAACCAGCTCGAACCTCTCGGGCCCTTCCAGCACCGGCTGGCCCAGGTCATCCAGAATGGTCACACGGAAGATCTGCATGTTCACACCTGGGGCGAAATCCAAGTTGCGGCTGATGCCTACGTAATCCACACCGGCTGCAAAAGAGCATCGCAGAATGAGTAATAATAATAATCCTTGCATTTGATATAGTGCCTTATCACGTCTTCGAGACGTCTCAAAGCGCTTCACAGAATATACTGTAAAGTGAATTGACTGTATATTTTGTGGGCGAAATACAACAGCCAATTGCACACAGCAGTGTCCCACAAACAGTCGTGGATTTATTATTATTTTGGGGGGATATTTCTGAAGGAATTATTACCCCCGGAAAAGCGATCCACCAATCAACTAACAACCGGGTTCCTACTTACTGCTAGGTAAACAGAGGCGGGTGGAGTAAGAAACTTCCCCAACATTTCGCCCTTCCAGAAATCAAACACAGGTCTCTTGCTTGCGAAGCGAGTGCTCTAACCGCTGAGCTACAGGACTACGCATAACCCTCAGAACACCGATCCTACAGTTTATCATTGTGAAAACCCAATAACCATAGAGCAGTGGTGGAGCAGTGGTGGAGAACCTTTTTGGTTGGCCAACAAAATACATTTTCTTGATTGAATATTTCTTCATTTATGCCATAATCAATCCAATCAAGAAAAACCTGGAAACACACTACTGATCGACAACATGGAATATGTGTGTGAAACAATAACTGTCCTAAATTCTTCTTTCGCTCTTCTCTTGACCGACTATCTTATATTTTTATGCCGGGAAATTGGACTTGAGGTACAGATCAGCCATGATCTTATAGAATGATGGAACAGACTCGAGGGGTTGAATGACCTACTCCTATATTTCTATGCCCCTGAGTTACTGACTCCCCTCCCTACCAGTGGAAATAGCTTCTCCCTATTCACTCTGTCAAAACCTCTCGGTTTTAATTAACTGAAGAATAATTATATGTAATTTATGAGAGATTCCTGGAGCGTATCTGTAAGGTTGCAATAAAAGTTAATTCCTCAGAAAGAGATACCTGAATTTTTTTTAAAAAAAGAGAATATTAGAAACACAATATACATATGCTGGTGTATGTATATTTCCACATGAAGGTTACCAATAAACACTGTTGGAAAGAAATCATTTGACTCTGAAATCCTTGTGCTTATCCAGGTCCCTGGAAGAATTCAAACATGAAATTGTGATTGTTAGTGGCTGTCTGTTTGTTCACTGCAACAGACACTCTGGACAAGCTAACTACTGCCTTGCCTTCATCAAAGGTCAGGTTTTCAATTGGGAAAGCTGTACCTGAGTTACCCTCCCAGTTACCCTGGGCGGAGGGGAAGGAGGGGAGGGCAGGGGTTGGGGAGAGATGTATTTACATTCCTGTGATTTAGTATTGATTTAAATGCACCGCACTGGCGGAGGACAACTTTGGCCATTTTGCTCGAAGGAATGGAGGCATTTGCATTCCTCAGCTCCAAGCACAATCCCACTGATTTGTAGGGCTGCCTTTGGAAACACCGCCCCCGGACACATTGCTTGAAAGGCACTTTGGGTTCTCATCACTGTGCAAAGGACAACTTAATGCCTACGCGGAAGTAAATGTCTCTGCACTTAGCCTACAGGACACTCTCAGCATCTGACCTTCCCTTCATTCCCCCTCAGAAAGCACCACTTCTGAAGAAGCAAGGATCACAGTGATGGTAACTGATTTGAAGCTAATCCCTGAACTGCCCGAATAATGCCACAACGTTCAGTTGACGTTGACGTGGGGCTCTCTCAGTTACCACTATTACAGATGTGTCTCCAATCTCTCAAGTCTCTCTTAACCCCGGAAGGAAATGCTTCCTCTCACCTTCAGCCGACACTGGCTCGGTTTTGCGTGACCGGATGGTTACCGTCGCTGTCTTGGACAGATCGGTTCCTGTTCTCCAGACCTGCACCTCCACGTATCCGTCACTTTCGTCCACTTGATATTCCATGTTTCCAAAGTAAAAGGCTGGCTCTGTGAACAGGGCAGCAGAGAAGGCACAATGAGGCACACTTGCGGCTCCTCACGTTTAATGACTGAGAATTCAGAAAGACTTAGCCCCACACAATCCCTACTAATACAACAATATTACTACTATTGGCAGAAGCCAGCAATCTGTCAATATCAGCTGTCCCAGCCGGAGCCACTCGAACCAGGAACAGGAGAACATTCCTATGATGTAAGTAGCCAGGGTTGACCACTGCTGACAACTGTGTTTCCTATGGCCAGATCTCCTGCTGGCACAGCTGATTCAGGGCTGACTGGCTTCTGCACTCCAGTGTTAACACACTGGGTGAAAAACATCCCAGCGTTAAGACACTGGGTGAAAGTACCCACATTTTGATAATTATCACATCACAAGAGATTCTGACCCCCTCTCCCCTTCCTCCTCCCCCTTTCGTTCACCAAAAGGGTTGGTCTTGAAGTCAATTGTAAATAGCATTGGACCTGCCAACCTGCTCAGCAATGTCCCTCAGTCCCTGGCTACCAGCTTAACTCAAAAACAATGACACAGAGTTAAGTCAAGGTTATGTAAACTGGCTCTCAATAAACTGCTGTGTTTTGTGGCTGGAAAATCTAACGGTGGCCACAGGGCACTACCATTTTGATAAAATCCAGAGAGGGAGGGGTTGAACCCAAAACACAAACACGAAGTACATAATACAAGTACAAAATACATAATACAAAACAAAGCGTCAATTCCTTTCAAATATTACAAACGCAGGTAAGAGAGGGAGTAAATTCCTCCCTTTGCCCTGACTGCAGTGACTATAATAATAATAATATCACACTACAACGTTAATAGTGGATAAGAGAGTCAAAACAAAACCCAGTTGGAGACCGTGGCAAAAACAAAAATGCAGCGATTTGAAATGCAACCATTTTATTTATTTCATTCAAAACGGGTTTGCTGTTTTTATTATCCTCTCTCACCCTGCGTGAATTGGGAGTGTGCCAGTGCTTGGCTTACTTTTTGCTGTTAAAATGCGTTTGAGAGAAAGTGCTGATAAGTTTTAACGCTTTCTATTTTTTTAATATAAATCGACACATTTTTGCAGGAGTTTGGAGCTGGACTCATTGTCCAGTGCGGTGCAGACAGCACTATCAGATTAACCTTGGGCAAGCAAGGTTCTACTCACCTGTCAATAAATTCCTCGCATTTCTCAGTTCTCCACACAAGACATGTGAAGGGCTGTGTAGTAAGATTCAAAACTAGGCTTAAATACAGGTTTACCATTGTATGCATGACCTTGCAAATCTCACAAACTTTTTTTAAATGTGTAACTCACGCCCTCGAGGGATGCACCCTGCTCACCTAATTCTGGAGAGTATTAAATGCAGGTTGGCGGGTGTCAAGGCTTGGAGATCCCCGAGTATGTGTCGGGGGCACTGCTGGAGTTTAACCAGGTAAAACTGCATACCTTGCCATTGCGAGCACTGTCTTGCAAGCTTCCCCCTGCTAAGACATTCCTACTCATTAGGGCTTTGGCTTGCAGGGTTAACAGGAGCTGAGTGGTATGACTCCCTGCTCCCATTGACTGGTCTGCCCCTCCAAATCCTGCCAATGAGCCAGGCTGACCGGTCTGTCATCAGTAGTTCCCTGGAGTACTGCGGACCCACCTGGCTCAGCACATCTGACATTGCAAGTGAAAAAGCTTATCACTGACATGGTTACTATTGCTACTTATTTCAGAGGATAATTATCAGTTAGTTTTGTCCCTGAATAATCCCTGCCGACTTTGACACAAAAGTTGGGTCTGAAACCTCTCTTCAAATGTGTTCGGCTGCTACCTTAACAATAATATAATAATAATCATTGTACCTGATACAGCGCCTTATCACGAGTCAAGATGCTCAAAGCGCTTCACAGGATATGCTGTAAAGTGGTGTAACTATTTTGTGGGCAAATGCAGCAGACAATTGTGCACAGCAATATCCCACAAACAACCATGTGACACAACAGGGAGTGAGTGACCAATTCTATTTTGAGGGATTCTTGGCCAGGACACCGGCAGACACTCCCTACGTTTTTTGAGTAACTATCTTTCAGCGTCCACCTAGACAGAGAGGCAGGACCTTAGTTTAGTGTCTCATCTGAAGGACAGCACATGTCCCAGTACACCCCCAGCACTACATTGCAGTGTCAGAATAGACTATCTTAAAATATCCTCATGGCGATAGCGGGTCAAGAATATTTTTATCCGCTAGAGAGGCAGCTTTGGATTTGAAGGCTTCACAGGGACCTGGTTAAATTACACCAGAATCCTATTCTTAGCTGCACAAATTTGTCACTCTCAATAGATCAGAGCACAGAAATATTTGGGCTCAAATATTGTACTCAATATTGGGGTACGTGTGTGAGGGGGGTGGTATGTGTGAGGTGGGAGGAAGCAGGTGATAATTATCAATGGAAGGTCTGCTATGTCCTAAAAGATTTGATGTGATAATTGCCTACGTAATGTTGCATTTTTCACCCCACTGCTCCTCCGATAAGTAATTCTGTTAGTTCCTGCAGCCCTCCAGCTAATTAGCAGACTGGAAAGGCAGGTCTTCAGTGGGGTCTTTGGAGCCACTTATTAATCAAGTGTAGGTTACTGATGAGCACCAGAGACCTCCCTTCCTCCGGGGGAGAGGAGACGACATCAAAGGACCACTGGTCAGTTTCAATTATTGAAGGTTCTAATTATTGATCTTGAGGTCATTGTCAATCCTTTCGATTTGATCCCACGGACCTGAACAGTAAACGGTTCAGACATCGAGAATGATTAAGAGCTTCAGCCCACTGTGAAACCACCTTATTGGTTAAAGCTGCCTTTGCCTGGAAATTTCCAATTATTGTCGGTGAACAGTATCACTCGCCTGGTTCCCAAATGTCCTGGATGAGGCTGGTGATCAGGTTCAAATGAACACAGAATTAGGAGATCGTGTTGTGTTCAAAATGAGCGTCAGAATAGTTGGGAATTATTGCTCGTTTGTTTGCTCATTTGTTGCATGACGAGCAAGGCTAACTCCCTGGCTCACTAGCTTGTTCCCTGGTCTCTGACTGCCTGACCCCCTCCCCAAACCTGATGTGCTTTCCCACTGCCTCGCTCCCTCACTGAGTCACTCACTCCCTCACTCACTTTCTCCCTTCCTCCGTGCCTTGTTCACTCCTTCCCTTGCTCACTAGCTCACTCCCTCCATCACACACTGCCTCACTCACTCCCACCCTCGCTCACTGCACCACTCACTCCCTCCCTCGCTCACTGCCTTACTCACTCTCTCCCTTGCTCACTGTCTGGCTCCCTCGCTCACTCCGTCATCTTAATTTGGTCAGCTGGGTGTGCTCTCCCATTCCATGGCGTAGAACTCCACCACTGTAATGTGCTCTGAGACGCTACCCTGGGTAAATTGTCGTTGTTGTTGAGAACAGAGCTTTTCTACTGAAATCAAGCGGAAAAGTGTTGTTGCAGTTGTATGCTGACTGAGAGGCTGGTCAGACTTCTTCTGCAGAATTGGGTTCAGTTTCAGAAATAGTAATAATGTTGTCTTAATTTTACTTTTATGTTCAAGGTTCCTTGGAACATCTGGGAAGAACGGACTAATGGTCATTAATCTGCCCATCACATTTGTTCCCCCCACACAGTCCATTAGGAAACTCGTAAAGGGAGAGATCTGAGAATCCGAACGTCTCACTCACAGGTGGCATTAAGCAGGCTGTTATAAAGGCGTCCTGGAATGTGTGGTGTGAGCTGTGATAATTCCCACGTGGACATTACTCATATTGTAGTAAATGATCAAGCAAGTTTTATGCCGCAATAAGGAACTGAGATGTTATAATTCAGGGGGATGAGCTGGGTCATTGCTTTAACCCACAGTCAACTAATCCTCCGTGAACTCCACTGATCCATCATTCATTACAGCCATTAGTACATTGTCCAGGAAGGGTCATTTTTCACTCACTTCAGGCAAATATTATAGCTCACTTGTGATGTTTAAGAATTTGGAGTTTGTCTCTGGAATGTTTTTTTGTTCTATCGCGTCCTGTTGACAGCCATCTGGGAATTTGCTTCTGCTCCATACCAATTCTGCTGATAGTTTAAGAATTCAGTGCATTTCGTTGTTATTCAATGCCTTTACTCAGAGATAAAAAAAACTGCTGAAAAGTCAGGTGTCTTCACACCTTACACAACTGTGTGTCAAAGTACTGTCTTCCCGTTTCATGTCTAAGTCTCTTTGTGCCGTGGCTGACTTGACAGGGAATTTCTCCCAGCATCTTGGTCAATAACCAGGATGTTGATGGCACAAATGCTGTCGGATTCGTCTAAAAAAAAGTCACTACAGTTGACAGAAATTAACTTTGAAAGCCTTTTAGATGAGGAACTGCTGGAAAACATGAGGGTGAATTTTTGGTTTATGTCAGATGTCAGCCTGGCTCAGTTGGTAGCACTCGTGCCTGTGAGTTAGAGTCTTTGGGATCTTGGGACCACAGTCTAGGCTGACACACCATTGCAGTGCTGGGGAAGTGATGGGTTGTCAGAGATGCTTTCCTTCGGATGAGGCATAAAACCGAAGTCCTGTCTGCCGGTTCAGGTGGATGTTAATGATGCCATGGCACTACTCAAACACAGAAGGGAGTGTCTCTCAGTGTCCTGGCCAATCATCCCCCACATAAAATTGGTTATTCACTTCGTGGCTATTTGTCGGACACGGGCTGTATGCACAATTAGCTATTGCATTCCCCTACAAAACACAGTTAATTTACTTTACAGTAAATTCTGTGAAACCCTTTGAGATATTTTGTCAACGTAATGAGGCACCATATCAAAAGCGGGGATTATTATTTATCATTATTTCTAAGAGTTCACATTTTATGCCCCTTAGATCTAGGGAATATAACACAGTTTTATCTAATCCTTTATTCACCTTATTGTGAGCAGTGCAGTCTCCCTGATTGCTGACAATTCTCTGATTTTGATCCAATTACATTTTAA